GGTAGCGGATAGATGCTACAGTGGGGAGCTAACAAGAGCTATGTGTTCGATTTGGGACTGTATGTAATTCGACTCTGCTAGTCACCATTTCGAAGTATGCTCACACCATCTGTTCTACATTTCAATCCGTAGAGTTTCTATTCGTAATTCGGGTTGTAGATTCTCGCTTTGTAAAACTTTGCGTCGCTCCAACCTCTAGCATCTGTCTGGCTTCCAACCTTCGCTCCCCATCTGACATATTGCCCTAGTTCATGCTTATCACCCGTAACCCACATGTACTCGCCGTTGGGGTGTCTCACGAGACTCTTCAGTTTCATCATCGTCTTGAGCACCTTGAACTTTCCTGATTTGGTATTGAATGAGTACGCAGCATAAGAATCTGTCATCAATAGCATCTGTTTATTCGTATAGTCCGGCTGCAGATCATGCCCCAAGCCGCCCTTGGGTAAGTTGTACCTGCCGACCTGCTTCAGGCGAGTGTTCTGGAAAGAGCCCGTGACTTTGAACTTGTATAGGAAGTCGTCTCCCACCACCCAAAGGAAACCGTCGGCGACGGATTTCCCGCCATTAGGGTCCCACAGGACGCCATGTGCGCCTTTGAGCGGGTAGTCCTCTGCGTGCTTGATCTTGCTGTAATCGTCGATATCTTTGGACGTGGGAACGTATAGACTGAGTTTCCCCGGGTTAGAACTCGCGACCACTATTGCTCCGTTCCGAGGTACGATTTCGATGGCATGCGGGTTATCTCCCGGGGTGGCCTGCCACATGAGATCGAACAAGTTTACTTTTCGCTTTTCCTTGGTGATGTTGAGGATTCCGGCCTTGCCGCCGGAGGCAGTGACGAGGGCGATCCAGCCGTGTTTGGCGACTTTGCGGATCTTGACGCCGGAGAGATTGTTCCACTTGCTGTTGAATATGCCGGGGGTGAAACTCCAGAAGATGGCGTCGTCGTTCCATCTTTTGGCGTTGCGGGGAAAGACGCGGACGGTTCGGGAGTTCTGGTCGACGACGGCGATGTGATAGTCGTCTGCGCGGCTTGTGATGGGTTGAGCGAGCACTGCAGTAAAGATATGCAGTGCTGCAAGAAAGTAAATATACCAATTGCTTGCCATGGTCAATTCGATGTTCTTGAGATTTCAGACTCGCTGGTACTGGAGGGTGATGATGAGCCAATTTATATCTCATCACATCGACTTTCAACTTGACAATCTCTGCTATATTTATCGCACGGGGCAGCCATGACGATCGCCTGGATACGGGGTATTTCCGGGCAGCAGGCTAAATATGGGCTTTCTCGTTTGCAGTGCCACTTGGGACAACAAGGGACGGCTCGCGAGGGGGCCAATATTCCGGCATGGGCGTGAGTAATGTACGTGCATCTTGATAATCAGAAAGTTTCTTTCTGTATTCCGTATCGATGGCGGATTCAGTTGAAAATCATGTCTTGCTGGGCCAGCCAACATGCCGGCGGGGTTTCCAGTGAGATATGCGGCCTTTTCGGGGTCAATTTCTCGCAAGGACGGAGATACCTATTAGTGATTGATGAGCTTCAAAAGGAAGCCTTTGTTTCATGTCTTCAACATGTCAACGAAAGCATTGTGTCATGCTTTGGGATCGTCGTTCTGGATGGGACTGGGACTTGGTAATGGGAGGGGCAGAACACGAGGTTGTTGGGGACCGGTGTGACATAAATAGCAAAGGCTACGGAGTGATGCGAGTTTACGCTCAAGTATCTTTGCAGGTCTCGTCTGATATCAGATCGGCCTTGTGGTCTAGTGGTATGATTCTCGCTTTGGGTTCTGTTCTCAGATTGCGAGAGGCCCCGCGTTCGAATCGCGGCAGGGCCCCGTTTCTTTTTTGTCGATGTCCGGAGTCGGACTCCGGACTCTCCTTCATGCTGGTTGGAGAAGGAGGGATAAGACGAATTTTCAAATTATTTTTGCCTCGGGTGTTCTCAAATTGAGACTCTAGTGAATGCTGGTGGGAATTATTTGGAGTGGTTCTATAAGAACCATTGATAGAATTAACACGCTGCTGAAATAAGCACAGCTGGTCTTGTGGTCTAGTGGTATGATTCTCGCTTAGGGTCAACTCCTGAGTACAAATATGCGAGAGGCCCCGCGTTCGAATCGCGGCAAGACCCCTTTGTCTTTTCATTTTTTGGTGCATCAATGCGTTGGCTGGTGGTGCTTTTCTTTTTGTTTAAAAGGGAGTAGTATATTATGGGAAGGATAGATGGTGTATGATACTGCAAGAGAGGGTTATATGCCTGATATCGCGGGAATTATAGTGCTTCCCCGTCATCAAAAGAGAGAGAGTAGCAAGACCGGTCAGCACCTGAGGGAGATAACAAAAAGGGAGAAAAGAAAGTGATGCCAGCCAAAGAGAAAAAAACCCCCCGGCACTCCCAAGTGTTCCCTTTTCTCCCCTCTCTCCTTTAGAATTTTGACGCCAGTTTGTTTGTAAAATATCAACACATGCTGTATGTAGCCCTCCGGACCCCTCGCTTTCTCCCGCCATGAGCAAAAACAAAAGAAAGGGGGTTTGTTAGGCAGATGAGAAAAATCTCTTGACTCCAGCCGAAAAGGGAAAAAGTGAAACGGAAAAACGAGCCCTCTCCAGAATAGCTAGTTGGACAACCCGCCAAAAAGGGACTGTATGCAAACAATGAGTGAAACGGGGAAAAAAGAAGGAATCCACGCCATCCCAGGCCAGGACTCGATGCTACCGCCCTTCAATCTCCCCCGTCTTCCCCGAAAGGCTGTCCAGAATACTCCCTCCACTCCTCCTGCTCCCGGCCCCATACACCATCTCCATCAACTTCGACTTCTGCTTCTCCCTCACCGTGCGCAGATACGTATACGCACCTTCCAACCCCTTGATCTGCCCCTCGATCACACCATCCACACCATTCATCGGCGGCGGAAGCGAAGCGGGACCAGCTTCAACACTTCCACCGCCACTACCGCCTCCCGCCCCCGCAGCCCGGGGCAGATTCAACGAGTCGTTCCGTCGGAGCAGCGGACTGACCAGCTTCCGCCGCAATGTTTCCAGATTCACCTTCAACGCCAACAGCTTCCCCCGGTGGTCCATGAGTAAGTGCTTATTCGCCACCGTTCGCTGGCGCACGCTCCCCAGCAGCCGCTTGTTCTTCTCATACTTCCTCAGCGCCGCCGCGTTGGGGCCCAGCACCCGCGTCCACAGCGACGAGAGCATCTCTCCCTCCGCGCGCTCCTGCGCGTCCGACTCGCGCACCACGGTGCGCTGCAGGTTGAGAAATTGCCGGTCTATCGACTCGAAGAGCGCGAAGAGGGCGGTGGAGTGTGTGAGTTCGGTGTTGATGGCCTCTTCGAGAACGGAGACGAGTTCGGTGAAGGCGTAGGAGAGGGTGGACTGGGTGCGCTGCGAGCGGGTCGGGCCGAAGAGGGTGGTGACGATGGAGCCGAGGCGCGTGGGGATGGGGAGCCCGTTCGTGTTCGCGGTGCTGGCGGGGGTCGTGGTGTTGCTGGCGTCGGTGAGGGGGGTCACCTCGAGAGCGCCCATGCGGGAGAGGAAAGCGTAAAAGTTCTCGAAAAGGATGGAGGATATGGAGTTTGACTGCTGCTGGGAGAGCGATTCGAGCTCTCGCTTGGCCCATTCCATGACGATAAGGATGGAGTCGATGTCGGCGTCGACATTGGCGAAGAACCGGGTGAGTTCCAGCGAGAGCGTCTTGAGGGATTCTGATAATTCATCCAGTTCCCGGACAATTATCGGTGCGCTGGTCATGTTCGTTCCCCGAACCGACTCCCCCAGATCCCATACTGCAACCCCGGTTTCCTGCAAGGAGCCAATCTGCTGCACGCCATTTTCGGAATAATAGATCAAAGGTTCAAAAGAGCGGGCAAACGCTGACAGCTTCACCAGGTCTGGGATGTAGAGTGGTAATGGCGGCAAGAAGAGCGCGCGCAAGAATGCGATAGACAAAAGCGCAATAATTATAGATAATATTGTAGACGACTTCGTCCTTGTGATATCGTCAAACTTTCTACCAAGCAAATTAAAGAACGCGACAAACGGTTCCCGATGTTGCACTTCTGCGCGAACGGCGAAACGAATATCTGAATGGAGTTAGCACGAAATTCGAGAACAAAAAAGCAGAATATAAAGGAATAACGGAAGAAAAAAGGAAGATTGATTATATTACAATTGGTTATTGACTCATGTACTGGCTGCTTCTCAGTCTGATCGCCTCTATCATTGTCGCCGTCAATCTCTCCGCCTCCACCTACATCTTCCTTTTTCACCATGGGCTTTGGAGCAGGGCTCGGGGATCGGCCCTTTAACGGCGAATCCGTTCCAGGAGGCAAAGGTATGCTCGCTGGCAGTACCAAGTCATCCACATCATGTCGCAGAGGCTGTGGAGATAATGGGTTTTCCGGCGCATCCTCGTACTGAGGGCTCACTTCTCTCGAAAGGGCCGGGCTGTCCACCACGGGCGGCCTCAGATCTGGCTGGTTCCGCAGATAGGGTTGTTGGCGATACCATGCGCTCCCAGATATGCTGGTGGGGTTGTGATAGGGCATATTCTCTCTTGTGCTGGGAACAGTAATCTGTCTCTTGAAGCCGGGTGGCGACCACGGATCGCTAATCGTCGACGCAGCGTCTAGGATCCCGGGCGTATCGTCCTCGTGCGCCTCTGGCTCTTCAGAAGCGCCGTGCGACCGGAACCCAGAGTGCTGCGACGGCAAGCCCCCAAAGAGCGGTGTGCGCGGTGACGAGTGTTCTTCAAAGTCTTCCAGGGAGGCAGACAGCGACGGGTGGTCGTCGAAGATGTTGTCTAGTTCGTCTAGACGTTCTGTGGCCATCATTTTGCTGGCCGATTCCTCCTCCGGGGCCTGGGCTGTTGTGTCATTGAGAGGCCCCTGGGCGCGAACGATGGAGGAATGCAAGGGCGCGCAGGTCGGAAAAAAGGTCTCTGACGCGACGGAGAGCGGTCGCGCGTGGTTATCCAAGGATAAGCCGCCCAGCACGCGTGTATGCGACTAAATTTCAGGCAGAAGCTGGATGATGGGCCTCCCAAGTGAATGGAAGCGTCAGCGCCACTATCGCACAACCACTCTGGATCACGATTCGCAGGTAAGTCAGGTAGGTCAGTAAGCAGTAGCGCGCAAGGCTCAAGGCAGAATGCAAGATATGATTAATATATTGATCAATAGAAGGCTCAATAGAGTCAATTCAAGCTGGGAGACAGAAGGCCACCACCAGTGACAACGATGGAGAACAAGTTGACAGCGCTGTAGAGTTAATTCCAAGACGGCATCAATCAATGCCTAAATATCAGTGGACTAGTGTAGATCGATGGCAGTAGGATGGGATTCAGAGGTCCGCGATCCAAATCTCGGCTCTCTTGTCTGGGTGCTGTGCGATGCGCAGAGTGTGCGATGTGCCCTGGAGACAGCCGTGGTCGAGATGCAGATGTGGTGATGGTGAGTGACATGACTCGAGGGCTTGAGAACGTGACAGGGCCCAGTCGTGACTTCCCTCTTCGGCGCATTTCCTCTCTGCGCGCCTTCCCCTCACTGCCAATTGTCATGCCCCCGCCAGCCAATCAGCGGCGGCAGCGAATGATCCCGTGGCCCCCGGGCTGGGCCAATCAGCAGCCACGGCCACCCTGAGGACAACGCACCAAAGGATCGGCATCGACGGGAGGATGGCGTGCAGTGGATGACGGTGGGATGTGGAGGGGAGCGAACAGGAAGTTTGCAGGACGCAAGGGGCAATGTTATAAAAAGTTAAGGAAAAAAAGAAACAAGCAAAAAGAAAAGACAAAGGGGTCTTGCCGCGATTCGAACGCGGGGCCTCTCGCATATTTGTACTCAGGAGTTGACCCTTAAGCGAGAATCATACCACTAGACCACAAGACCTGTTTTCATTGGCTGGGAAGACTCTATGTGAGTACATGAAGGCACTGTGGAGGATCTGAAGGCAATAGCAATGCTGCCATCTAGCGCTCATATTTGCTGGACTGGTGAGGGAGAGGGGAGCAGAGTGTCATTGAAAATTATTTTGATTGAGAGGAGAATCATCAGGTCATCCTTCTAGCCTTGCGCCCGGCCGGAACACAACATGCAAAAGCCCATCCTGCAACAGCTCCGATATTAAATACGTCTGGCCACAGGTCCGTTTGGGAGCAGATAAGAGTTGGGAAAATGATCCATAGCTTGGAAACAACATTGCGAGATCTATAGAGTAACAGAGGAAGAAAATAGAGGAGCTAATGAAAAAGAGTAAAAATCTTCGTATTGGTACATGCCGCCATTATCCTGCTGGCCCGATTTCTCCCAAAGCGACGTATAGTCGTCCATGCAATTGCGCCTGTTGAGAAATGCAGAGTTCAAAAAAAAGCCAAGGCGGGGTCTCGAAAGTGCCGTAGGAATCACATCCATGCCCGTGGAAGTGATTGCGGCGTTGACAGAAGCGATCAGAAAATTTATTTGGTCTCCTGCTCCATGTAGCTGTTCAAAGAGGTTAGATCAGGGCTCTTGGTTGTATGCAATTGGGGTAGAACATACGTGATCAAGTCGTTGCGATCCTTGGCCTTCTTAAGACCGCCAAAGGCCATCTTGGTGCCGGGAATGTACTTCTTAGGGTTCTCGAGGTAGGTGAACTGCGAAACAATTAGCCAAAGACATTCTACGCAACATGCATAAAAATTCCACTTACGAGTGTGTTGTGATCCCAGGTGATGCCCTTTTGCTTGTTGGCATCGGTGTAGGAGAAACCCTCAACCTGACCGGTCTTGCGGCCGAAGAGACCGTGCAAGTTGGGGCCGACCTTGTTGGCACCGCCCTGCTCGAGGGTGTGGCATGAAGCGCAGCGGGTCTTGAAGAGGTTGGCGCCCTTGGCCGCATCGCCTGGTTGGACAGACTTGTTAGCCAGCTGTTCCTGTTCCTGTGCCATTTCCTTCTTCCATCGCTCCTCCAGCTCAATGGCTGTAACAACAAGGGGCAGCTCGGCGATGGACATGGTGGACGGTTACGTGTGAAGCTGGTGCGAAATGGCAGAATGCGGGTGCGAGCAGGTTTGGATGTTGCGAGACGATGCGGACATTGGCCCGTCACAGATCAAGTGAGGCAGTTGGCAGGTCCGACACAAGCAGTGCAATAGCACAGTCAAAGAACACATCGCAACCCATGTCACAGCAGAAACAGGCAACTCCCCCATTTCAACACAGAGCAACACAAGCTGGGTGAATCAAGAACAGGAACTTACCAGGAGAATACTCGTCCTTGCCCATTTTGAAGAGTGAGAGAGGTGATTAACTAGAAAAGACTGGAGCTAGTGATACAGAGAGAAAGGAAAGAAAAGACTTTTGTTTGCGATCTAATTCAATTGAGATCCGTGACTGACTGAGATCAAGAAGCAGAGATGAAGAAGAAGGATGAAAACTTTTTTTTCCTGCTTTGGTTTCAACCGCAGAAAACGACACTAAGCAAGCAATGACGGCAACTCTGCGCTGCTGTCATGTATTCCCGATACCGCTGGAAATACACGCGGTCCGGGCTATTGGCGGCATTCTCATTGGCCAACGGGGCGGTTGAGCCAATCAGCGGCGAGCTTTATGGCATTACTCGGGCGGAATCGGGATCCATTCGGCCCCAGAGGTGGGCTTGGCATTACAGAACCCGTGCCTTCCCTGCTTGGAAATGGTCATCTGGGTTGCGCCTTCCTCGGCCAAAACTCGAACAGATTCGGAAGGCAAGAAGAGAAGGGAAGGAGCATCTCAGAAAAGGAAGTCACATCGAGTCCCGCCTTCTCTCTATAGAAAGAGCGACAGTAGGCTGACTCAGCGAATGAGAGCATTAGTCATCAAGTCTATGCTTAGTCACCCTTTCCTGCTGGCCCAAGCTCCTCGGATGCCCATTGGTCAATTGCTCTCCCGCAAAACCTTCCATCGATTCTTTGTGAACTGATGCTTCATTTCTGGCCTTGATATATATATATATATATATACCACTCAGTCATCAATCGAGATGGCATCCGCAATAACAATCCCCTCTTTTCTCCTACCTCGCGCCATTCCTAAATCCGCATCGTCACACATCCTCCTCCGCCGCACTCCCGCAAAACCATCCGCCTCCCGCCGCTGCGCCTCGACATCATCGCCGAAACCCCGCGTGCTCGAAAAGCCAGACAAGTTCCGTCCCCCTTCGCATCCAGCCCGGAGGGTGCTCTCGCCCCAATGCCGTGCCGCGAAACTACCCCGGCCCGCCGCTGTCGGCCAAGGAGCGTGAAGAACAAAAGACGAAGAAATATCCCAACATGTTCCCGCCAGAAGGCACCGTGATGCACAAATTCCTGACAAGCAGGGGGATACACATCTGGATATCACTGGTAAGGCCCCCGCAACCCCCTAAGTGTACATCACGTCACTTACATTTCTCTCTCTCTTTTTGCCCAGGGCGTTCTCTTCTCCCTTGCAACCTTCACTTTCACCACCAATTTCAAAGCAACCTCGCCGTTTGCGCACCTCCTTCCGTCCTGGTCGCACTTGATCACACACCCCATAGACACGGTCGGGCAGTTTCTCTCCGTGATGAAAATGCACGCCGACCACGTCACCCTTGAGACGACGGAGAAGCGCAAGCGGAACGTGGATGACGTGCAGAAGCGAAAAGAGTATCGGATCGCCCATGGGCTGGAGGAGAGGGAGGTAGAGCCGGTCCAGAAGGAGGATGATAACAGCCCTCAGAGAAAGGAGGAGGGGGGCAGCAGTGAGGCTGGTGCGGTGGCGGTTGCCGCGTCGGGAGCGCAGGAGGGTGGGGAGATTGGGGAGGGAGACACGTATGTGGATTGGGAGGGGAAGAAGAGGCCGGTTAAGAAGTGGTTGGGGATTTGGTGAGTGGTGTGCGAGAAGATGGGGATGCTGGTGTCGAATTGTATAATAGAGCATCGGACTTGGAGTTTCATTGTGCGGACAGATAGTGCTTTTTCTTGAAGAGAGATACATCCATTACTCATGATTGAATGGCAAAAGAAATCTCCTGTTTCATATGAGCAATTATCTGCATCTACCCCCTATGGTTTATTCTAATCTTTTGCATTCGTGATTTGCATCGTGCTCGCGTCGAAAGTCGGCATATATCTGCCCAACTCGAGGCAGACCTCGCCGTTCCAAGGCATACTGCATTCGACACGTCCTCGTCCTTCCAGTCATAACCCTGACAGCAGCCCGCAGTCGACTCACCTCATTCGCGGTGCAGTTCGTCTTCCAGTCCCTACAACGGGACACTCGACCCAGCAAGCAAGCCGGCTTGCCGTGACTGAAGAATCAAAAAGATAAAAAAAACATCGTCGTGAAATGAGATCCACGGATTATCCCACCTCCACCCCTTCCAAGCCCGCCATGACCTCCTCCCCAACACCACCCTTTTGCAATATCATCTTCACAATCCTCGAGATAACTCCCCGCTTGACACCGCCCTGTCTGGGCTTCCACACTCCCTGCGTCACATTGCCCGTCGTAAGCTGCTGCGAACCAGCCTCTTCGCCCGCGCTGATCCCAATGTTCGTTGCATTTTCCGAATTGGACAGGCCCGAGTTCGTGAGGCGGGATGGCGGGTCGACCGCACGAATGGCTAGGAGCTTCAGGTTGCTCGACTCCCCGGCGTCCTGCTCATCTTTGGACGTCTTCTCGTCGCGGCCGATGGATACGCAAAACACCGCGTCGGCGACGGCGATTTCCTCCCTGCTTGGATCGAAGATGATGTTGTCGCCAACGGAGATTACGAGGAGCGTAACTGGTGGTCGGAAGGTTTGTCGCGGTGGCATTCCTGCCTTGGAAAGTGTTTCGGTGCGAGGGTAGAGGTATTCCGCGGCAGCCCAGTCGTCGTTGAACATGGGATCTTCTTCGTCCTTGGAGACGAGCCGTGGTAGTTTGGTGGAGAGTAGTGCGAGATGCGTCGTGAGTGAGAGCAGCGGAAGAGGATACGATAGCGGCGGGGAGAGAAGTAATATCTAGATCTCGTTAGATGACGGAACCAGTCCCATTCCCACAGCCTCCGGGACAATGCACTCACATCGATATATATCCTCCAATGCCACCCCTGATTGATAACCAACCTCCCCTTCAACCCACCAAGCATCCCACCATCATCCTGCCCTCCTCCCGATCCCGATCCCACAAGCGCCTCCCTCATCATCTCCGCCAAAAAAACCGGCAACGCATCATCATCCCTCAACCCAGGAACCTCAATCGACATCTCCACCCACGAGCTCTCCCCCCCAGCACCACCACCACCACCACCTCTTCTCCTCCCACCATCCCCATCCTCATCCCCTTCCTCTCCGCCATCCTCCTCCTCCCCCTCCAACCCCCTCCCCCCCAGAATCCCCACCTTCACCGTCCTCTCCACCTCCGCCTTCACACCCACAATCGCCTGCGTCCCGTCCGCAAACCCGATGCGCGCACTCCCGTTGGTGTTGGGCAGAATATCCGCTTCCGCTGTGAGTGGTCTGAACTGCGTGGCGGCGCGACCGTCGGGGCGAATGGGATGGTGAGGGTGGGCGAGGGAGGTGTGCAGGTAGGAGAGTTCTGCGGGAGAGAAGTGTGAGATTTGTGAGGTGGAGGATGCGAGCGCCGGCGCCATTTTTCTGGCTGGTTTTGCGAATGCGCGGAAGGTCTTGTATTATTTGCGCAGAGAAATGTCACAATTTTTATCGTAATGATGGGAATCGCGCAAAAATTCCCAGGCTCCAGGCTCTTTTTTCTGGAAGTAGATATGCGGCGAAAGGCTCGCTCGCCATTGAATTGTTCAAAGGAAAGCTCCTCGCGATGTTGTGCTGGGCGATTTATTTTGGTGAGATAAGCGCACGGACCACCTCGAACAATCCGAGCTTTGAGATAGCTGGGATCGACGAGGTGCCCAATTCAGAGCCGCCAATTCTCACGGTTGTGTCAATATCTCCAATGTCTTCAGTGACAGTAAGCATAAGCTACCCTACAACACATGTCTTGGATCTAGTGGGTATTTCGGGTTTCAAATGTGTATATGTTTTGCTAAGTCCACAGGTACAGGGTAGGCGGAGTATATATAAACGGCTATGCAGCTAAAGTATGTGTCAAAAAATGGTAATATAAAAGTACAAGAAAATGGAAAAGAAAATACGGGAAAATAAAGGAAAAATAAAGGGACAAGTATTAAACCCCCAATGATATCTCCCCACATAGATGATTCCCCCATTTTCCCATTTCCACCTCGGGGACACGACAAAGGAAAGAAGAAAAGGGAAAGGAAAGAGATACATTGATCAGAATAAGAGAGACGGAAAGATGTCGAGCACACCGCGCGTGCCCACTTTCGAGCGGAACGAATGATAGATATCCCCAGTCGCCGTTCACGTCTATCCGCAGCGCCAGAACGACCGAGATGGAAATACTGCAAAGCAATGGTCTGTTAAATGATGTGAAATAGGAAAAGGAAAACGAGGGCAAGGGATTTGTGCATCAATAAATGTACACGAAACTCGAGGCTGAGTAGGCGAAGATGGTCGGAGTAGAGGGAACGAAAAAAGAAAGAAATAGTGGCTGCTTGGTTCAAGCGACAAAGGGATGTTGAACGGATAGAAGTAGGGTTCTCGCAACCGCGCGGCGGGCTGAAAGTGCTGGACGCAAAAATAAATATATAACGAGAATAAGATAATAAATGATTAGAAAAAGATAAATATATCGCAAAAGGCCAATGCAAAGTCTAGAAAAGAGGCCGGGGGTATAGAAATGAAGAGAAATTATAAGACGAAAACAAGATCAAGTAGCCGTGAAACAAAATGCCAATAATGAGAGACGTGCAAACCTGAATACAGGAGGAAAAACAAAGCCTAACCACCCAACCCGGGAGAGAGGACCAGTCTATAAGCGCGAAGTGACCAGGACGCCTTGGAATCCACAGGATTCGGAATGATGATATTAATTCGGTATCCGTGTTATTGCGGGATATGTTCAGACGAAAACAGAAGGGGGGGGTGTAACGACGAAGACATCGGGTGAAAAAGGAGCGGAATTGGTTGTCTCAATGTGATCGAAAATGGACTTGATATCGCCAAGCGTGTGATGAACGGGCGAGCACACAAGCAAAAGCAATCAGGTCACCTGTGCATGTTTACAGTGGCAAACATGTTGGCAGTAGTAGTGTTTGTCCACTCACTCTCGTCATAGGGAGGAGTTGGCCACTGGCGATGGCTTTCGATATTCGGCTTGTTCATCCTCAACGGTTTTGAAGGTGTGATGTCGGAAATAAATGCCGGCCCATCGCGTCTTGCAGTTGGGGAAGGGGTTGGGTATGGATTGTGACGGCTGGCGTCGACCGAAAGGTTTGGCTGGTTACCAAGATCCTTGAAGATATCGCGGGTGGCCTCATCCACGATCGACCCTTGCCCAAGGCGCTGCGCGGCTGAGTTCGTCGAGTAGAGAACCTCCTGTAGGAGTTCGTCCTCTTCTTCCGGAGTCTCGTACCGTGGAACAGACCGAGTGGAACTCTGCATGACTCGGCGAGCCCGGCTCGAGAGGGACCCACCACTGGCAATAGTTCCATTTTCTGTCACACGAATTGCTTGTGCATGCGGCACGGACTGGCGTTTTGGAGTGTTGCTAGTAGTACCGCAGGCATGGACGGGCACGTTCGGAGGTGATGCCATGTCCAAGCTATATCGGACGTTTTGGAGAGCTGTATCGAGGTCCAGCAGATCATTACTGGGTTTGGCTTCGGAAATATTCACGGGATCGAGGGCCATGGAGGAACGGTTAGACCACGGAACGCAGCCCGCAGTAGCTTCGACGTCATCACTTGGTATGGATGCTTGGTTTCTCCCTGAGAGCCGTCGAGCACGTTTTCTAAGATGAGAGAAGAAGCTCTCCTTCATGGCACTAGGCGATGTCACGTTCGAACCACCATTCAGTGCTCTCTCGGCTTCTTGGCGATGAATATCTGCATAGTGATTGCCATGTGAATTGACGGACAATTGCCGGCCAATCTTCTTAGACGCCGCGTTGCCAGTTGCCTTTGAAGGTGAGTTGTCATTAACAAGGGACGAATTGGCTTGAGCGTGGACAGCGTGCGAAAGTGGCGATACCGGTCGAATTGATGGCAAGATTGGCATCGGTGCTCCGTTTGTCCATGTAGCACGTTTACTGGCCAACGCCTTGGCCTTGTTCGATGGTGAATCGACGCCACCATTATAGGGCATCTGTTTGGTCGTGTCTATTTGCTCTAGAAGAGGAGCGGGACTATCGGACCTCCCAATCAAAGAGCGTCGGAACCAGGAAGGTTTGGACGAAAGCCCCGGGGAATCACCGTTTCCTTGAGCCTTGAAACCCTTATCAGATTGTTTGCGGCCGAGTAAACGGGCAGTAGACGATCTTGGACGCAAGGGATCAACGGCATCTGTAAAGTACTCGTGATTCAAGGCCTGAGTGGATGTAGGTCTATTTTTGGGATCCCACATCAAACACCAGGTGACAAAACGGCTAAGCGACGCTGGCCACTGAGACGGCTGCAGGATACTTTCCAAGGAGTGAGGAGCCATCTAGACCAATGTGAGCAATCTGCTTTTACAGATGGGGCCATAAAATTGGCTTACCTTTGGAAAAGAAAAGCCCAATTTCTGAGCCAAGCGGACTCCATCTTTCCATTCACCGCCACCCACTTTAGCACCCGACTTGCTATACCAGTTCCCAGGGCTTCCCATAATCTCACAGACGCGCCACACTTGGTCTACTTCATTTCCACCTGGAAAGAGAGGCTTTAGTGTGGCAATCTCAACAGCCATTGCACCAATCGCCCACATATCAACGGGGGCAGAGTACTCTCCAGCACGCAAGAGCACCTCAGGAGCGCGATACCATCTGGTCGACACGTACGTGGTATAGGGCGATTTCGAGTGTGTCTCCCTTGCCAGTCCAAAATCGGCAATCTTCACGGTATAGGTTGGTGGAGTGGACGGGGGGGTGGCATAGCGGCTCAGAACCGACTCAAAGTGCGCAGAGCCAGAGACGAGGATGTTTTCTGGTTTGATATCCCGGTGGAAAAAGTTGTGTGCGTGAATATGATCGAGACCGGACAAGATCTGGAACAAGATGCTCTTGACGCTCTTTGTATCTAGGCACTTGTGGTCCCGAGCCTTCATTAATTGATAAAGATTACCGTCCATATATTCCATACATATGTGTAGTTTCTTGGTCAGCGGGTCGCGGAAGATGTCGAGGGCAGGGACGAGGTGAGGGTGGTTGGGGAGCGTTCGCAGGAAGATCACTTCCCGAAGTTCGAGGCAGGACGAGAAAGATTCAAAGGTTTTCTTCATGGTCTTGATCGCGACCTACAACCGCAAAAGGCAAGGTCAATTGTGTGTTTTCCCCCTCGCGGACGGGGCCGGCCCATCAACAAGCTCACAAGACTCACCATGGTACCACGTCTCGCCACATGCGAACCAGCGGTTCGCACTCTGGCGACCACGACACTTCCGAAGCTTCCATCCCCAATCTGCTTTATGACCTCGAACCTCTCCTCCAACGGAGCTGTATTAGAAGGTCGATACGATTGCTCGTAGCTGACTGTCATGGTGGATGTTTTCTGCCTGCAGATAACAAATATATAGATATAAACGAGAGTCGGGAGGCTACTGCGAGCAAGACGGTTGTCTGTCAATAGGTCGAATTGGGCCCGGAGCAATGGGATCGAACATACGTCAAAGGGACAGGTACAAACACGAGGACGCGACGCCGTCCACACGCAAATGGACGAGAGAGACGAGAATTTTACCAATGGCAGAGGGACCGCACTATCCGTTCATCTTCGAGTCGGAGGATTGGGTAGGTCGTGCTGATGGATTGGATGGAAACAATTGCAATCCCAACGCTGACTGGTCAAGACTCGAGGCAGCAGCAAGCATGGGGCGAAAACAGAGGTAGAGCGAGAGAGAGAGAGTGTGTGTGCGTGAACTAGCGAAGGGGATTTAACTCGAGTTTCCAAGCCAAAGAGTGTATGCAGTGAGAAGTAACGGTGAAGGGAGGGGTTGAGACGGTGAAGGAGAGAAAAAGAGGACGAGAGGACGAGGATGAACAAAAGGGACGGAGTGGGCGGTGGGGAGGAAAGGGAAGCTGCAAGAGGAAAAGGTCGACCGTCGTTGATCGATGGGGGGGGAAGAAAAGGAGAGCGAGGAGCCAGAATAACGGGAGCGCGGATCCGGAGCGTGGGAGCCACTAAGATTGAAAGGAGATGAACGTCTTCTTGGCTTCTAGTCCCCTGGAAACGTGACGGCCGCAAGAAAAAGGAAGCAGACGAGGAAGAAGGAGAAGAAGAAGAAGAACAAGCTCCAGTCACAATTTCAAACCCGGCGTGATTGCTTCTTCGTGTTTTCCTTTTTCTTGGTGACCAGGCTTCCGAGGACGAGGAGGGATGTCGACAAAAGACGAGGGCACTGCGCACACTGGCTGACCGGGAGCAGATGTGATTTGCCCGTGTCGCGCTCTCCAACAAACAAACAAAAAACCGCTTCTGTTAGCTCCCTCGCTCTGCCGCTGCGGCCAGGCACATCGACACCTTTCATCTCATTATTCTTAATTTCTTTGAGCTCCCCTCACTCGTCCTGCTGCTCCCCCAGCGTCGCATCGGCATGACGGTAATTTTGGCGAAATTGGCCCAGGGATGAATGGTAACGGCGTCCGGTCCTGGTATTACCGCGCCGTGACACCCTTCCATACCGCTTATGTCAGCCGACCTGGCGCTGGGCTGCTGGGTGGGGCAGGTCCACTGCTGGCGACTTTCCGGTACGATACACGGCTGTACCCTTTCTCGATTCCCGGCCGGCGAGGGCCCGTAATCTTACTGGCTGGCACCGCGGATGGGCCCCACTGCAATCCCTCCACCACGTTGAAAGCGCACGCCCTAGCCCCGAAGCAGCTAGTGCCCACTGCGTGAATTGCAGACCCCGAGCGTGGAGTTGGCCTGTGGACAGTGACTAAGCCGGATGGGCGTAAGATTCGTATTATTAGCTGGTATGGGACGCAGAGGACAGCTTGGTGTCTGGCGATGATCGGTGATAATAATAGCATGACAATGGATGCGCCGTTGTCTTGCATGGTTCTCTCTCTGCTCTGTTCTTCCCCGCGTGCGCTGCTCGGCGACAGCAATTGATCCTCACGTCCCTTTTGCTTTTTCGCCTGACAATGCGAGCCTGGGGAAATCAGGCACGAGTGCATCAGAAAATCACCCTGCGTCACTGCCAACGCGCCAGTTCATTGGTCCTGTTGGCCTCTGGGCCCTTGGCTCCGATGTGACCAGTTCCGCCGCCGAGTCCTGTCCGCCAATCGATAATCGGCTAAACTTGCTGCTGCCGCTCCCGGATGGGCCCAATCATACAAGGTGCACCGCTGGAAATTCACACGAGACTAAAATAGCTCTTCAGCCTGGGCGGATCAGGATAGCGGACGCCAGCGGGAACAAGTCGGTTGTTTCCTGGGATTACGACTCCATCGTTAATCAAACCAGGTCTCTCATCAGTCTCTCGGGAGACCTGATGTTGATAATCTGCAAATCTCCTGTCGGAATGCCTGTCTTGCGGTGGAGTTGTTGCTCTGGGAATCATCGTTTGAAACTATGTGATGGACAGAGGCTATGTCTCACAATAATCCTTCCTCCCTCGCTCCCCGGCGGATGATAGGGAAGGCGAAAAAGCTTCACTTTGACCTTGGGATGCTCCACCACTCATTGTAATGCTCGCCCTCTGTAATCAAATAATTTCTCCAACCAGTCATGTTTGTAACTTGCTCAGATTCAAACACATCCCACGGTCACAGGTGGTTTTGAAACAGTTTTGGGATATTACTGTTAGTACCAAGGAGGGCCCGGGTGGCTCCGTTGAGGCTGCGACCATGTTGAAAATCTGACCCATCAACGATCTGGCTCCAGTCTTCTGGGACAGGTGATTTGCTTCCAACTAACCTGCCGTTGCCTAGGCAGACAGTTAGACTGGCACTACTCTACCGAGGCCACCAAAACCCGTCAGCAAAGCCCATCAGCTCTCATGGTGAATGCCAAGGTCAGCATTGAAAAGGAGCAAAGAGAACATCTAGCACGGAGTATATCCAGACCGATTGCTCGTGTGATCACTTCAAGTCCTCCAAGCCCAGGCGCAGGCGTGTTTGCGGAGTCGCCCGTTCACCGCTCGAGGGTGGGAAAAAACAGGACAAGATGAAGCTGATCGCCCAGCCATGAATTGGGAAACAAAAGGATCTTCGCCGTTCGAGATTCACCGGCTCCAACAGTCTTCCATCCCCGTTAGGAACTTCAAAGTTCACGCCCACCTTGCTGGAGTCCTGGCCTGGAAAACCAGTTGACTGACCCCATGGGGGTGTTACCCATTCAGTTAAGCCAAGAATGATCCAAGTTTGCTCCCCATCTTCTGAAGCGATGTGGCAAAGTGGAAGCATTTACCCTGCATGGCCATTTCTGTTCTTTTTTTCTTTGTTTCTGTGCCCCTGGGTGTCATTTCTTCGCGGGGACTCAGCTCGCGAAGAAATGACTGGTTGGATTGGCTTTGGAATCCGTCTAGCTTTTTTCTGGATTGCAATGGCTGGAACCAAAAAGGAGATGCAGTCGACTTGCCACACAGAGCTCTTGACAGACGCATTCACCTGCTCTTTGCGTCGGTGCAGCTGAACTCAAGCCAGAAGAAGCTTTGCGCATTGATCTCAAAGTAAAACCTAAACGGGACGGGGAGAATCGATCCGTCAGTGCGGAGGAGACGGTGGCTTGAATCTCTTGAAACGGTTAGCCATGCTTTTCAGCGAGAAGGCGGGCAGCCGAATAGACCGGAAGTATCATTGATACTGCCAGTTTCTCGTGCAGATTATCGATGGGCAAGAAGCTGGCACCCGACCTGGGGTGGAAAAGCTGCTTTTGAAAGAAAATGTTTCTGTGCAGAAGCGAAAACATGGCTCCTGCAACTATCCTTTGCAAATTGGCTCCAGGAACGCACCGGAAACATTCCGTTCATCTGTTTCTTGTTGCGATGAAATGAGATACTGTGAGAATCTTGGGAACACAAACAAACTTCCCAACTGGGACTTGCCGCCAGAGACATCCAAGATGGGCTCACCACGCAACCCCTCACTGTTCTCATTTCAGCCTCCTCTGCACTCAAGCTCCCTTCTTCTTCAATCCTCCCTTCATCAGCAGCTTATTGACATCGCATGCTGTTAGGCTTCTGCCATGCCACCCTACCCAGGCTTCAACCTTGAGGCTCACAAGAGAGCGTAGGTTCCAGTTTCCTCTCAAGCGGCAAGGACAGCTGCTAATCTTGACTCAGACTTGAGAGAATCTGTATTCCAGAGAAGTGAGTACTTTGAGCAGCGCCAATTCAGCGACGGCTCCTCAGCTAGGACTAATCTTGGAAAAAGGGTCAAATGTAAGATCTGCAAGAAGATTCGTTCCGCGAATGCCTTTTCCAAACGTCAGCTGGAGGAGCTTCGCAAGGCGATGCTAAAACATGGCGCTACCGGTCTCAATGGCCCGGGCTATGCTGGCTGTCGTGCCTGTATCACTCACCAGGTCGTCGAGCTCACGTGCTGCGTGTGTGACAAGACGAAGGCTTTGGAGTTTTTCAGCAAGAATCAACGCCGTGATCCCGATAGTGCGGTAGGCTCCCTGATCTAAATATTCATCTTAGCTTCCCTACGGTGTGGCTGTGAAGAATCTCATATGCTGGTTTTTAGAGATGCACCAACTGTGTTCAAGGTCAGATGGACACCGAACCGGTGATGGACGACGCCAAGCTGCTCCTTGATGACGAGAGTGCCATCGATACAAACACCTACATGGTGAGTATTCTTTTGCTAGAATGTGGTGCTTCAATACTTAGCTGAGTGGTTTACCAGAGCCAGAGCGATGCCTACACTATCAATTCATTCCGTACCCTTTCCATTGCAGGTGGAGATAACCTGTTATCCGGCTCGAACTCTGTGGTCATGTCAGACCACACAGTCAAGTTGTCTTACCAGGCTCCCTCCAATGCCATGAGCAAGGGTAAGGGGAAAGAGGAGAATGCATCTTTGGGCGGTGGAGTTTGGTTGGAACAAGGAAGCCGTTTTCCCGAAGAAATGATGGGCCCCAACGCCACAGGAGGAGTTCCCCTTACTCAAGGAAATGCGCATCTTCGTATCGCTGCGCCACCTTCCGAAGCAGCTGAAAACTCGCTCGCCAATGGTGCTCGGGATGCTTGGAAAACTGCAAGCTCAGTTCGATCTCAGCAATCCGTCCAACCATCTGGAATGGTTATTGCCAAAAGGACCTCGAACTTTGCAAAGATCCCTGTTAGTTTCCATTCCGTTTTCTCTCGCCTTCTTTGGCCAACTCACTTATGGAACCTAGGCCGCACAATTGCCGAAGGAACAAAAGCCAAATATGTACAAGGACGAGCCTGAGGGTGAGACCATCGAGTCTGATGAATCCTCCTTTGAAGATGATGACGTTCAGACCTGGATTTAATGCATTATGGCAGCCAGCGGAAGATGGATAACGGCGGTCGAGGTTTGAAAACCCCCACAGACCTTGAACAGTGGATATTAAAATCTCCGAGAATGTATTTTACCTGCACCTTGCAGCCAGTGGATTTCACAGATTTTAGTCATGGAAAAAAATGGGGAGAAATTACTTGAATACAGAAGAGCAAGTGTGGTGGAAGTATATTTTGAAACTGCAAGTTGAGAGACCCAGCAGAATTCCTTTGTCTACTAAAAGCCATCCTTCCCACATAAGTACTATAGCACCGTGCCAGGCTAGAGTCCTGACACAGGCCCATATCCCAGGCGAAACTGTCTATCTAGATATATATCAAAACACACAGACCCCGAAAATCTGCCGTAACACCGCAACGCTGCCCTTGTCCCTCTCTAATATGATTGGTAGCGAAGTTGGTCATTTAAAGGGATGTCAACGTCTTGCGCGCATCATCTTAGATGGCTAAACAATCTTAAGTCAAATTACCTTCATTAATACGCAAAACTCCCAGAGTAATAGGAGCGCATCCAAGCTTGAATGGAAGAAAAGCCGACCAATTTACGAGATGTAATCCCAAGTGTTATTAATCTGATCAATTCTAATGAGAGGTTAAAAACACAGCTTTACTCTCCATTACTCTGATTAATTGTTAGACCAGTCTAAATAGAGCCAAAAACAACTGCGGAAACCGATAATGCGCGCTCTATGCTACTTAGAACACTCCTGGCATTAAAAGCGGCCTTTGTTTAACTTGTGACTTTAACATCGTCTAGAAGACAGCTGCGAAGAGTGGCTGAGAACCACAGGCGCTTCGGGGCCGACTTTCCAAGGACCTTTGAGGGCCGAAAAGTTTCGGATATTCCAACGGAAGAAGTGCTTGGGTTCGGTTGCAGCGCTGATTCACCCTCAGAGCCGTCACTGCGTGAACATTGCTCAAAGGGTTTCTCAGGCTGGGACCAATGGAGCCCTTCCACAACATGTAGAGAGGTACCTTGCCTCCGCTTATCAGGATATCTGATCCCCTGCACGCAAGCAGGTTTTTCAAAGTCACTTCTTTGTTGATTTGATATCGGTCTGACCCAGCTGAAACGGTACGTCCAAGTGAGATATTTCCCAATAGTTTCTCCCACGCCGATCCGGCACCGGGTCTACGAAGACTAGGGGCATCAATGTTGTAACTAGTTAGCTTCCTGTAATAGTGAGCAAGTTAGCACACGGGCTGACGAGCATGTTGTCCATTTCTTGCCTGCTTGCGATCTAGCCTTTTCGCACCATCCAGCGATATTCCGACGGCGGTTTAATTCGAAGGTGCTCAGGCACCTCTGACATTGAATAAATGAAGTAGATACGGAGTACACATCCGAGTTGAGATGCAGTTGAAGCGACACCAGCCACAGCCTGGAGGCGCATGATATCAGCCCGACCCCACTTCACCGAGCCGCGTGTTGTGGCGTTCCTGGTGCTTGTCGTCCAGAGTCAGCTCGCCATCACCATCATCACCGCCATCAACATCATCGCCATCATCATCAGTATCATCAGCGCTACTGCTCAGATATCCCCAGCAGCCCAGAACTTCAAATATCCCCCTTGCGGCTTGATACATACTCACCGTCAGTCGCGGAACCGGCGGTCCACCGCACCTTTACCATGGCTTACGAGAACTTTCGCGCTTCTCAGCCCTATGACCAGCTTTTCAATTCCGTTGTGCAGGCGCCGTACCATGACAACTACGATCCCACGTTGGATAGCAGGGCCCCAGCAGTCCCACCAGTCCCAGTACCGCCCTATCAGCCTCCTTCGAATCAGCAATCTCCGCCTCCGCCGCCACCACCCATCGCCGCTCCGCCAAATAAACCAATTCCATTTCCGGACCCCTCACGGTTCTATCAAAATAGCAACAATAACCCGCTTGCGCCTGAACCTCCCGGCACGGCGTTTCAGCAGAAACTCGATGTCTCCCCTGAAATCATTGCGCAGATTACCTCGAGCGTCATCCAACAGCTACAGGGTCTCAATTTTGTAGGCAATATACCCCGTCAAGCTCCAGAACATCCATCCCAGAATTCGAATTTGTCGCCATTCACTCCGTCAGTCTCCGAAATATCACAGTCGTCTCCCACTACTGCGAATAAAATCTACACCCCACCCTCTCCCTTCAGACATGTGCAGGATGGACCATACCAGTCTCCCCAGTTTTCGAACCCGCAATTTGCCCAAAAAGTCCAGAATTTCCCGCAGACGCTTGGAGAGCAGGAGCGGATTCCTCGCCCTTACTTGGATGGGGCAAATGACCAACGCCCCAGACTGTCTCGGCCTCCGACGCAGGACGAAACGCCGGTAGAGAAGATTTGGGGGCAACTTTTTGACAAAGATGGGATGCCAACCGCGAGGCTTGGGCAGTTTTTGCGTGGAATCGCTGTTCATCTAGTACGCCTTGACTGATGAGGAGAGCCCAACTTTTCATGTGCTCACTTTTTTCTATACAGATTGAAGCCTACCCGCCTGGGAACACTATCGTTGTCACACCAGAGAAGATGCAGAAATATTACGAAGATACCAAATCGCCCACCGACCCGTATCTATGGAAAGGTAACGATGGGGAAACTTCGTGTATTGTGACTGTTACTAACTCTGGTTCACTAGATATATTCGATGACCGAACATCATCTATCTCGCGTCTTTATCGAGACGTGCAAGCAGAGCATCATCTAGTCCAAGATCGACTAGATGAAAGACCTGATATACCTGGCCTTACCCCTCGTGGATTCGAACGCTGGATGAGACTCATGATCGTCGCGCGTCCTGACCAAGAATACCAACGCCTTCAGAGGACCGTTCTTGAGATGCCCATCAATAATCCAGACGACCCAAAAGAACGATTTCCGAAAGAGCTTCCTCGGCGATTATTTCCCAAGTCTCCTGATCAGGATGTGAAAGAGCATTTGGAGCGTTCCATTCTAACACATTGCCATGTGAATGTTCCGAAGACAGTGGACAGAGACCAGTCGCAGCCTAATACCCATCGCCGCCGTCCCACTCCATCAATTGGGACGCCTCCCCCTAATGCAGATCCAAGGTTGAGTTCTCCTTTTGAGGACGACGACGAAGATGAACCGGCGCCAACCCGTCCTATCGAACGTGAAAGAAAGCCCTATTCAGTCCAACTTGGAGGAAAATTTTACGAGGACAATCTCAAAGCAAATTTGAATAGCCACGTAGAGCAAACCAAATACCGTGATTTTGGCATTCGAGGTGGCCGTCAAAGTCCTTCCACCGGAAATAAACATGATTCGAAAGATTTCGCCAATCGAGATGCAGACTTTGTGAAAACTCCTGTGTCTGCTCGATTCAGAGAGGACGATGAGGTTCGATACAGGAAGGATGAACGTGTCCACGACCATTTACGCGAGAGGGAGTTTGAGAGGGACAGGCACAGCGAGCACCCATCTCGCGGAAGCTGGGATACGGATGAAGAGGATTATTATCGAGCCACTGGTACTCTAGGTGGGAGAAGTGGGCGGCGTAGCCCGGCATACGATGAGAACCAGTGGCCTTTTCGTTAGTTTAGGCGAAGGTGATAAAAAGGCGGATGAGGGAGACAAAAGTTGTGAGAATGAGAATGACCAAAAGGAAGATGCTGAGGAGGATGTTGCAACGAAACGGAGCGGGAAGGAGAAAGCAAAACAGAAAAAGCGCAGATATAAAAAGGGCAAGGGGATGAAGAATGGTAGGACGAGGAAAGAGATTTGGAACGACTACTTGGATAAAAGACAAGCGGCCTGGGCTTCTCGACTGATTATTGCGATGTCTTTGACTTGATGGTATGATTCGTATCATGACAGATTAAGTACGATAAAAGCTTTAGACAGCGATGAAGGGATGAACGGGGCTGGGTTGGGTTGGGCTGGGAAGGGTCGGCGACTGGGGAGTCTGGGAATATAAAAGATACGCGGGATGCGGCTTGGAGTTCTTTACACATTGGCCCTTATGATGTTAACGATAGCCTGTCATTTTCGGTATTTGCCAATATGAATCAATGAATCTGGTGTTTCATGCATGTGCGTCAAATGTCATCTCCTCCCCCTTTCCTCCTTAAACACGCGATTCTCCTCTCGACATCTCTCCGCATACTTGCGCCTCAACACCTCTTCCCTCTCATACCTCCTCTCAATCCTCATCCGATCCCTCTCCTCCCTCTCCACCACCTTCCTCTCCCTTCTATGCCTACTCATCTCCCTCTCCTGCTTCTTCCGCCTCTTCTCCTCCTCCTCGCGCACATCCTCCCTACGCAACCGCTCCACCTCCTCCGCCGACAAGACCCACGGCACCGACAGAACCTGCACAAAATACCTCGTCCTCTCCTGCCAAAACTGCACTTCGGCGTTGGTGTCGTGGAGGAGCACGTAGCGCTCGAGATGCAGCTGGAGCGTGCCGTGGAAGCGGGTTATGGTGCCTTTTAACTTGGCCACGACGCCGGGGCGGAGCGGGGAGATGTCGAGGGGCACGCGGGTGGCCGAGGTAAGGTGCGTGATTGACGGGTCTGGGCCATTGCCATTTCTTGATGGCGGCAGGGGTTGGTCGGGCGGCGGTGTGTATTTGGAGCAGACGACTTCGATGGTGTGGCCTGTGCTGTCGTCGAGGACGAGGATGGTCCGACGGACTTTCTCGTCGCGGGAGACGACGATGCCGGCGAGACAGAGGTATTGGATGGGGAGGTTTTTGTGGAAGTATATATTCTGTCCTATGCTTTCAATTGTAGGGCGTTAGAACGGTAGGCCCGGCCTCCCCCCGCGTATAAACAGCTTTTCGCGCCCGCTAGATTCCATATTCGAAAGAGGATCCGGTGCCATACCTTCAAAGTCCTTTGGTTGTGTCAAGCAGCGTACATCTGCGATGCCCAGCTTCACCCAACTGAAATAGGTTGGGGCTGCTTTGTGGCAATACAGCGGATAATAGCGAGATTCTGGAGTGGCATATTTTGCTGACATGTGATGTTTATCGTTTTATCCCATCTGGGTATCATTGTTGTTCGCACTGTTTGGGCCTTTTTGACACTCCAACACTATCATGGCAAGTTGAAACTCAGCAACTCGCTAACTATCTGGCTAGTTGACTACTCTGTAGTTACAAGCCTGAGCACCCACCAAGTCATGTGACATAGTTCCAGTTCTCATCCTCATAGCTGCACTACACATGTTTGGACTCAGCGGCACAAGCATACATCTTTTTGTACGAAGTACGCATTATTGGTTAAATTCTTTATATTTGGTTTCTTATAAATGGCCTGGGATGTGTTCTAGTTGTATTCTCAAACAATGCTTTGCTTGCTATTCCGCATCGTATTGCTGCTCTAACTAGAGACGGGCGTCATTTAGGCCCTTTTCCTTCAGGCTTTGGTTTCGGGTTTGGGTTGCCCTTCCATTCAAGTTTGCGAGGTGTCATAAATTGCTTCAAGACTTCATCCGTGACTTGCTTTCTCCGTTCCTGGAAATCCTTGACATATTCTTGCAGTAGCGTGATGGCCATAGCTTTCAGCTCTCCTGTAAGCAGCTCACCTTTTCGGTAGCTCTCTTCAATTTGGTTGAGTTTCTCATCATCTTCTTCGAAATATGAAAGGTCTGTAGCTTGGTTAGACATGTGAAAGCGCTGGGTGTAGGTTGAAACTTCGACGACTTACATTGGAATGAGACGTCTACATCGGGGTTCCCCCCCAGTTCACGGTGCTCTTCTATAGTATCTCTTCCTCCGCTGAACGCGTGTCTGTTGATTTTTTTCTAAAAACTGTGCGTCAGAGTTGTACTGGTAAGAGGAACATCGGTTGGAAATGCTAACCTTGATTTGGTTTGGCGTATCGGTCATAAAGATTGCAGAACTGTGCGAATTTCAAGTTAGCCCTCGTTCCATAGAGGCAGCAGCGTTAATGAACCTTACTTTGGATCGCTTGCGCTCATTTTGCCACCAGCACCTTGTAGTGCGGTCAGGAATTTGGAATGTATCAAAGCTGGTTTTGGCGACGGGTATCGCATGCGGTGAGCGTTATCACGTACGAGCCGGAAATATGGGTCTTGATCAATAGCCATCGGGATTAAACATGGGATTTTGGCTATGGCTTTTGTCCGGTCTGCTGGTGGAGTATCGGACCAGATCTCTGGGTACGAGGTCGCGAATGCTGCCACACTATCATTGAAAATGGTCAACATACGCGGCCAGTTCAGGGGAGAAAGGTCTTACCATTGTACAGCTGGAAACATTATCCGGCCGATATTGGTGCTGCAGAAAGTCAGTACACCCCAAAAGAAGAAAGGAGAAGACAACGACATGGAAAGGAACGATTTGATAGGAAGCAAGCAAGTTTTCTGGACGGCTTTGTGTACCTTTCATTAAACCCAAATGCGCCTCGCACTTGGTTGAATGTTATAAGCTTGGAGAATTCCCAGACATTCATCAACATATGCCCCTTGACGTACTCCAAATCACTAAAGATGAACGTCTTCTTCGGGTCAAATCCACAGGCAATGATATCTTTTGCGTTTTGTAGCCCAAACTTGTACGTATCCTCAAAGGTGAGGTTGTCCTTGAAAAGCGCCTTCTCGTCATCTTTGCCTTGGTTAACACAAAGGAGGAAACGGGTCAGATTACACGACGCTCACCAGTAAGCATAATGACTGATAACAGGGTTAGCAAAGTCCACCGCGGCGTCTGGGCTGGTTCAATCCCGGGACATACCTAGTGGGACGTCGAATACGTCGTGTAGCCATTTTGTAAAGGAGAACGGGATCGTATGGCCTAGATGCAGAGCCTCACTCGATGGCCCCCTCCCCGTATACATAAAGAATGGCTCGCCAGCCTCGTACCTGTCGAGAATCTTCTCAAAGTCTCGATGTGAAAAGAAGAGGCCGCGCCTCAACCAGCGGTGTGGCTTGTGGCCCGTCAGACGCTCGAAGCGCTCAAGGAGGTCATTATCTATGAGCTTGGTGGCCCATTTCCTCCGCCTGTCAGCACCACTGCCCCTGGGCCAAAGACAGGCACGGCCGGGACGTACTGTGAAATAGCCACGTAGTCAAAAGCTAGGACGTTTCCCTGCTCATCGTGTGCGGCCTGGACATCCCACGGGTTGATCTCCTGTTCTGTGGCCGCTTGTTTTTCTGAGTCGCGGATGGGCACCACTGTTTCAGGCGTGGAGTCGGCCATTCGCGCAAGTCCGTGGTATCAGCGACGGCGTCAAAAGGGTTTCCGCAGCGTAATTGTAAAAAGCGAGACTGCTCGACGATGCACAGGTTTTTCGACTGCGGGAATCAGAGGGGCGCTTCCAGGAGTCGCGAGTGACTAATCACGACGGTGCGGGGTGTCGGATCAACGTTCCTCCACGGAGAGTTGTTCTTCCGCTCCGCTAACATTCCCACCGTATCGGAATTTTGTGGGTTTGAAGAACCCACAAAATTCCGATAATCCACCATAACCCGATTTGGAATCATGCAGCAACCATAACCCATGCTGAGAACCATGGAAAAACCATGAGATTCCCATTCCCATTCTGAATTCGATCTTCTTCGGGAATCGACCTCGATTTTCGGAACGAAATGTAATAAGAAACGTGGATCAAATGGAATTGTTGATAATTGTAGAAATGAATTCATTCAGAACCTAAGCTAGTTAAATATGTTGAAGCCCCGCCCACCCGCCCATGCTTCCAATGTCAACCCATCCCCGGTATCATTATTGCCCAACAAAAAGTGAGTCCTCACTAGGAGGAGGAGCTTTGGTGGAATTGTCTATATCTATTGAATTTGAGTCAGTTTTTTGATCTTTATTTGAGTGAGGTATTTGGGAGTATTTACTTGGAGAAATGCTGTGACAACCTGATGGCAAGTATTCAGCATAATTTGTTGCTGAAGAGACTGGTGCAGATGAAAAGCCACCTTCAAATTGCTGAGTACCATGCTGAATGGTTGGGGTTTCCTGGACAGTTGCTGGTAAGGATGTTGGTGAAGTTGAAAGATTAAAATGAAGTTTCTTTGCAGATTCTTCTCAAGTTCCATCAAATGAGTGTTTCTGCTACTCTTTTTATTAGCTACTTCCAGATTTTAAGAGGGAAATTTGCTTACAGCAGTTGGAGTAGAGAATTGATGGCCAGAAGTTGGAGGAGCCTCAGCAGGAGTCTTGTCTTGAACAATTTGGAATTTTTCAGAAATTGCCAATGCCATTTGTTGAGGAAGTTTCTAGCATGAGATCAGTTATTGTCTTCCTATTCTGAAATAACAATCAAAAGCACTGACTTATCTCAATAGATTTCCTGATGGCCTCAACAGAAGTAAATGTGGCTTCTTGAATCTTCTGGATCTGCTTCAGAGTCTCCAACATTTGGATCAGAAGATCTATATTCTCAGCAGACATGGCAGATGATGCTTCTCTGGAAACAGTTTCTTTTGGCATACTGGCCAAAACAACTTTCAATTCCTCACTGACTGCAGCTGCAATGGTGATAATACTTTTCTCATGAGCAGCTTTCACAGTCATATTTGTTGTGCTAGCCCATTTGTCATATGCACTCATCATCTCAACTACCTGCTCCAGCATTGCATCGGGGAAATCAGAGCAGCTTTTCTTATTGCGGGCACAGTTTTGACATGCATTTTCAGAACCTTGCAAATTATTGCAAGTCTTATTCATGTTTTTTGGGAACATGAACTCAGAGACACAACACTGGCAGAAAACAATTGGGAAATCAGTAGGAGCCTTTCCTTTTGCTTTATGCCCAGACTTATTTTTTGTTGGAGTGTCTTTCTTAGGAGCATTGCTTCCATGAGTGACAGCCATTTTGACAATTTCAGATCTAACCAACATTAGATTTGATATTCAGTTCTCTCAGGAAATCTCAATACTTACAGATGAAGACAAACAGGCTATATGATTGATATTTGGGCCTCAAGAAAATCTCTGAACAAGATATGAAAGCTTGGGGAAGGAAGAAAAGAGAAGGTGAAAATCTTTGTGGGAGAGGGGGTTTGTTTATTTCACTATGTGAGCAGTCTTTACCCTTTTCAGATGTTTTGATATCTTGTGATTTCAACTTGATTCTGACACTAGGGGGATTTGGCATTTCTATATTACTGGAGCTTTGATATTTGAGAAATTGAGTCACCAAATTGACAGTTTAATGCTCCAAAAGCATGCAGCATTGCTGCTCTGGTTTGTTTCTGATATGATATAAAATATACTGGCTAACTTGTATATAGATTTCTTGAAATTGTCAGTTTGTGGGTGGCAAGTTCTGATTGCCTGTTCTTTCTTTGGCTGGAGGTTCTTCTATAAATTTCATCTTTGAGAACAGAGTTGCTGATCTGTCAGTTGCATCAGATGTTTTTGACTTCTTGACTGTCTGCTGCTTCTTCTCTGCAAAATCCTCCCTATTCACATTGCTATATTGTGGATGTTGGCCCATATAGTCCCAGAACTTGAGAACCTCATTCCATACACCAACTGCCTCCTGTTCATGACCTGGCTTTTCTAAAAGGTCATCATGCAGTTTTACCTGCACTGCCAGATTTGCATATATCTCTTCAATTAGGTCAGTCAGTTGATTTCACTATTCCAAGCTGATTTCTAGCTGCTAACTTACATTTGATATACCATTGCTCTAATGCCTTTGACTGATTGAGGTCAAGAACTGGCTCCGCCCAGTAAAATATCTCTACAAATTTGTCTGGATTGAAATTCTTCACAAAGTATGTGAAAAGCTTGTTGGCATCCCCGCAGCAGTGCATGTCAATATTGGGATTATTTTTGCAGTCAAGCTTCTTGACATTCTGGACATGAGTCTATTTGCTGTCAGTATATCTTCCTATTGTTTGAATAAACATAGATGCTAACCTTCATCTTCTTCAATGTTTTACATTTCCAACCCTTTATAAATTCAAGGGCAGATACTCATGCTGAGCTGAAAACAAATGAGTCTTCATCATCTGTTTCATATACCTTCTGTACAATTTTGGGAATGCCCTCCTTGCTGAAAGTTGTGAGATACATTCATCTCACAAATTGTTTCAGTATAACTTTCTTTGGCTGATTTTTCTTCTCATATTGTTTGACATCAGGATGCTGAACTTGTTGTTTTCTCTTTTGCTTCCATGTCTCATTGCTTTCTTCATTATTATTCTCTTGCTCTTGATTCTCTACTGTACTGTTGGGATCCAGCTCTGCAGCTTCTCCAACATTAATTTTGAATTCATCAAAGAATAGTGCATCCATTTTGAATAATTGGAAATAGTAACTTTTGGATATTATATTTGATTCTCCTGCCATTGTATGAGAGCTCAAGCTGCTGTTGGGAATTCCCTGTCTAAAGGTTGAGGTTCTCAAACTTTTGACTCCATTTCTGAAAACAGTAACTCAAGCAATTCAGCCAAAACAACTTTCAATTGAACTTTTTCATCCACTATATTTTCAAATCAGAATCTTCCACCAGGATGTTGTGTCCAACCCTTTGAAAGCCAGAAAAATTGCTCTTTGAGAGTCAGTACAGGGCCAATCCAGCAGAGAAGCAGTTCATCCCTCCATTGAGCAAGAGAGCAATCCCCAACAGATTTTACCACAGCTGGTGGATTTGGAATCAATCTTTGATGATTCAGATGATTGTGGTTTTACAGTGAGTGGTTTATATTTCAAAATATATCAAAACAGAGCTGATATTGTGAAGGATACACTAGATATGGACCTGGGATATACTCAAAAAGACAATGAGCTCCATGCAATACTGGAAGATGCTGCAGCTGATGCAGAGTTCACATGTCTAGAAGACAACATACTTATTGAAAAAGACTCTGAGAATGGGGCTGAAGATGAATCTGAAATTGAAGAAGAAGAAGAAGAAGAAGAAGAAGAAGAAGAAGAAGATAATTAGAAGACATTCAGTATTAAACCAGCAATGCAAATGCTTGAGAATGAATCAATCAAAGCCATTCCACACCTACATGCCAGAGAGAATAATCAAATGGACCATTTTCAAATGGCTCTGGCATTATGGTGTGAACACACAGGAATATCCTGATGGCAATACCAGTCTTTACAAGAGATTCTCCAGAATTTGACAGATGTCAAACTCTTGAAACTTCTGCCTACTGGATTGTCAACATTGAAAAAGAAATGCAGATCCCAATTCCCAATACTGTCAATTTGAAAGAAATCTCTCACTGTTATTTCAAAGAAGATGCCAACTTTATCAGCTGCTGAAAAGAAACTAGATGAAGCAGCCACAGAAATGAGGACCAACATGTATTTTCAGAATTCAATTGCATTGGTTTCAACTCTTGTGAAGTCTCCAAGTTTTCAGAAGAATCTACATATTGGAATGGCTGAATTTGTTGACAATTCAAGAGAGCTATGGCAATCACAGGCTTGGGGAAGCTCAATAAAATATTCATCAGGTGAATTTGCATATTACCTCAATGGTGAGTCTATATTCCCCTCTGACTTTGTTGTCTACCAATGCAATACAGAAAGCTGTCCTTGCAACACAGATCTGGAGCACAATGATCATATGGGAAGAGTTCAGTTTGTTGGTCAGGACAAAAGATTGAATGCTGTTGTTCCAAATGCCATTGCCCTCCAAATCCAGCCAGTATACCAATTTTCGCCAACCTTCTATGGTGGAAAACTGTCCAAATTGAATCCAGCACACTCCCTGAATGAAGTTTTGGCTCATGAAAATCCAGGTGCAATTATCCTGGCAGATAAAGTTGTTTCACAAGTTGAGGTTCATCTTGACTATGAATTTGGTATAGAGAATTGAGAATATCAACCTTCAACTACAACTCACTACTTCATGTGGCGGGTTTTGACCTCCAAACAAGCACAAGTGAGTACCCGGCCGATTAGCATGACCACTCTGCTATGTGGTGAGCTGGAGATAGCAGCATATGGTAGAGAAGCATTGAAACAAATGTTTTTCAGTGACAGGAAGATTATATCCCTGCCTTATCAGCTGTTCATTGATGGATTTGGTCTTTACTGCAATATGTATCAGAGTCTCATGGGGGTATATATGATACCTGCTGGATTGAATGCTGTTGAAAGAAGCAAATGGAATTCCATCTATACAATGACTTTTGGACCACATGGAACCAACTTTCCTGATGTGATAGAGGCCCTACAATCTGGATTGGCAATCCTTGATCAGGGCATTGATGTGGATATTCCAAATGAAAGTAGCACTTGGGTGATAGCCTCATGCTTTTGTTTTCTTGGAGATATGCTGCAACAGAACTCCAATGCTGCAATTAAGAGTCCAACAGCATTTTGATCTTGTCAGAGTTGCATGGTGTCAGAAAAAGAATGATTTGACATGACTTTTGACACTATAGCAAAGGGACAATACCATTATTGGATTCTACAGCAAAGAGCCAGAATTGATTCTACAGAGACTAATGCCACAAAACAGAACCTCTGCAAGGAATTTGGAATGGCTGAAGAACAGACAGCATTACTAAAGATCTGCCCATCACTCAATTTGGTTACTTTCTTTCTCAGTGACCCATGCCATAGTGAGTTTTCAGGAATGTCCAAATCTGTGCATTTTCTTTTGATATCAGCAATTCTTACACCCCATGGGCAAAATGAGTACTGCAAATTGCTCCAGAGGTTCCCATTCCATCAGAGATGGGCCCATTTACAGTCCCTGATAACTCATTTAGATTCATACTAATTGCAGGAACACACACACATCTCAATTATCATTCCTCTGCTCCTACACTGCTATATGACTCTGGAATGGATCAGTCCTGCAGTTCAGCAAATGCTTGCAGCTGCATTCAAGAACTATTCTCAAACCCCTGCAACAGGCTTGATCACTTAAATTTATGCAGGAATAGCACACAGCAATGCTTTTCTAACTTTACAGTCACCTCCTCAATTCACCTCCAAAGAACTGAAGCAGACTGTGGTTACAGCCTGTCAGAATTATCAAAAATTGATTGAAGCTGCTGCAGCCACTGCAGCAATTACACACCCAGCACAAGCAGCAACCAGAGCTGCCTCCATTAGAAGTGCTAGGCCATTGCTGGCTTCAAGTGAGTTGCCAGAACTTACTGCATATGCAGAGGAGGTTGGAGTATTGATTGAAGAACTGTTGGATTCAAAACAGAAAATCAGAGAGATCTGAAGCCTCAAAAACTGGTCAAATATGCATATTGGTATTCACTATGCAGAGCAAGCAAATGAATATGCTATATCAAATAATTGCAATGTTCTTAGTGGAGAGGACAAACATCAGGAATACAAATTACTTGTTTAATGAACCAACAAGTGTGATGTTGAAAAGACATTGCTCATACAAGAGAGCTTTAAACACACACTAGTTTTACTTCTCAACAGTGCTTTTGCTGATACAGAGCAGTTTCTGACTCAATTAATTCCTGAGTTGTATAGCTCCTGTCCAACTCTTTTTACTGACATGCTGCAGCTACCAAGTGAAGATTCTGATGGGCAGGAAAGTCTTGATTATGCTCCAAATCTCTGGGCACAACAACCTGCAGCAAAAATGGTTTCAATTCTTGGTATATCAAACACCTGGCTTTCAAAATTGCCAATTCTCCATCCTTTTCTCCAAAAGCTTCAAAATGCATACAGGGACAATTGGAGCAAACCCTCCATCATGAAACCAGGCTCAGCTCCCATTCATTTCTACAATAATGTTACTTTCTCCCTCGCAAACCATTGAATCAAGCTCATGCATGGTGATTTGGTTGAGTATTGGCAAGGAAGTGATTCCTTTTTTGGACAAATTACCAGTATTTTTGTCCACAAATTACACTCTGAAGAGAGTGTATTTCTCTCAGTAATTCTGACAATTGAATTGGGAACTGACCATGTGCTAGACCTGCCAATTGTACAGGTGGATTTGAACAGTGACTATGTTCTTATTGGACTGCCTGCTATTTGGAAACCAAGTGTCTATGCAGTGCCTGTGGAGGCAATTGGTGGCAATCTAATTCTCAGTGCAGCATCTACAACCTATTTGGTTTGCACCTGGGACATTTCATTCTATTAATTAACTAGGTGTGCTCCGAGTTGTGATAGTTTGAATTAAGTATTACAGCGGGAATGGAACCGCAAATCAGGAATACAGTAATACCAGTGGTTTTTGGGAACGGTTCTCACCCTGGGAACTGTTCCCCATGTAGAGAATCAATTAAAAAATCCACTCGTTTCCAATTTGAGAACAGGGAAGGTGTCATTCCCTTTTTGGGATCGATTCAGGGGGTTTCTACAGTGGGTGCATCGGGATTTCACGGTTTTTCGGAGCCACAAAATTCCGATATGGCACCTAACCGCCCAACGATTTTTACCCTTCAACAATCCATGTGAAACACCACGTCTTTACGGAGTAGAATGTTTGGCATCACAATATTTAATCATGTGATTAAACACATACAAAATGAGATTGCATGATAATATCTGATACATCAAACATTCTAAAGACTTATCATGGGTCTGAGAATGACCATTAAAGATTCTGTAAGGCTATGAATAATCTCAGATCTGTCTCTAAAATAGAAGCTATGCTAGATTGCTCAAAATAAAAGATTTGCTAATAAAATCATTAACATAGAACGTTCACGGTTTTCTCCTATGTGACATAGGATGTAGATGTAATGTGAGATGATATGATATTAGTGTTGTTGGATCATGGGTGCATACAAGCACAGTTAAGCTGTAAGGAAAGCGCCAGGCTACTGCAAAATGAAAATCCTATTCCGCCAAGTCTTCTGAGAAGTCGCTGATTGTTGGAGATATTGGGGAGGCTATCTGTTGATAGAGCTGGTCTAATCGCATTTTTTGGCTCGCGAGCTCTTTCGCGCCTTCTGCTAGGGCGGACGAATCGGAAAAGAGTGCGTGACCAGGAAATAATAACTCTTTGCAGACGGCACCTGCTGATGTGGCCTCGAACCTGGGGAACAAACACAATGTCTTGAAGCCTTGGTTTTCGGCTATACAATCCGGCCGATTTAGTTCCGCTTTGCCTGGGAGATCATGGGCTACCCATCCAGTCCTAGGCCCATCAGCAGGAGTTGAGACAGACACTTGCATGCAGTCTACTCGGAGAAGTCGCCATAGCCTAGCTCCATTCTGGAAGATGGCTAAAAGGGACTCTCTTAGCTCCTGGTGATATTGGGGCTCAACCTGTATTTCAAGGCATTTTGATATATCCTGTGTTGCCTTCTGTACGATCAGGTTGGTTTCTGTACCTGCCATGGCATCAACAAACTTATATGTGAGGACCCTCCAAGAGGGTTCAAGTTCTGGATCGAGCTGCCATGCAGTGTTGGACAGGGTTTGAAGTGTAGCAGTGCTTGAGGAGACCGTATCCTCCAAGGCCTTGGAGCAGAAAGGTCTCCATAAAATATCACACATTCGCCTTGAGATAAGGGCCTGGGCAGCGCAAGTTCGGAGAAATACTGATATGGGTGTCGGCGAGACAGGAACTTTTTGAAATACAGCATGGCTCTCGTTGACCCTAGCCGCGTATGAGAAGCTCTGACAGACGTGGCATATTTAGTACCCATCCATTCGCGAAAGTCAGGATGATGAATTCTGCCCATACCTTGAATGCCTCATATGGTAGATTTGCTATATACTTAGTGGTAAAGTTGTTGATGGAACAATAAAGCTCTTTGATTTGTGTCCTCCTGATGCAATCATACTATGTCAGCTAGGGCCAACCGCTGGCTGGGAGTCAGACTCACATATCCATGATATCCATTGAGTGGATGGGGAGTTTCGCGTTACATTTTTGTAACCGGTCTTCCAGCTGAGCATTTTGATCTAATGCCATTTTCCCGATCCTTTTCTGCCGATCTAACTCGCTTTCTAACTCGCGATTGCATTTTTCCAGCCTGGTATTTTCTGCCTCGAGGCGGCAAATGTTCCTCTCAAGCTCTCTAATCTTGTCATCAGTATCCTTCCGATGCCGAGAAACTTGAGCCTCGATTCTTTGCTTGGTCTCCTCTTTCATCTTCTTTTCCATGCTTTCACGCTCTCTCCTCAAGGCTTCTCTCTCAGACTCCAGTGATTTCCTATTTTGCTCCTTTTCCTGCGCGAAACCCTGCTTCTGACTGTTTAGGTCTTTATGTTCTTCCTCAAGGCGCTGGCGTTCTTTTCTGTTTATCTCCACATCCTCTGCAATGACTCTGTGTGACTCCTTTAAAGCGGCTTCAAGTTCCTTGATCCGCTTTGCTTTGTCAATCTCAGGTTTGAGGCCTATTGCATTGAATCCTTCGGCGGCATGTGAGATAATCCCTACTATGTTGGAGAACTGCTCAACTTTATCCTTATGTTGTACAAGCTTATCTAGAATAGCGCTCATGGTATGAACTCTGCCGGGGCACTCTAGTACAGGCTGATCACTCTGCGGCAGCGAGCCTTCCGTCGCCTGAGCGGTGTGATTTGAATTATCGGCTAGGCGTTTATCTTTCCGTGCCTGGACTCTTTCGGGTCGTTGTTCCTTGCGGATATTGCTGTTGTCTTTCCCCATTCTTGCAAAAAGAAACTTGAAACAAAAAATGTGAGTTTGAGCTGTAGATAGGTTCAACACATAGCTACTTACCGTTCTCCCTCTGCTAAAGAGCAACGGTCGACCGTGCGATGTTCTGGTCATTCAGCCCCTAGACAAATTGACGGGGAAAGAATTTCTCAGATTTGCTTTCTTAAATCGTGTCCTCCCAATCTGTTAAGTAGTTAACTTGATATAAGAGGGGGTGTTGGGGACATCACACGTTCGACTTCCACTGTAGAAGGTATATAAGGATCTAATAGGGTGCCTCATTTATGTCCAGCTGTGTCCAGCATGCATGGCTGTGTTATACAGCATCATGGTCAGACACATTTTCACACAATCCAGTTGGATACCTAAATGCAAGAAGCAGCATATAAGATGAAAAAAGGCAGGCTTACGCAATGTAGGATTGTCCATACAAGAGCTCATTGAGCATTTCCTCTGCATCAATCTTGATACACATCACAGAAGAGTTAATTCCACCTACTTCCCTGATGGTTCTTCAAGCAAATCTTTATAAAATACTGTTGTCTCATCTGAAATTTGATTGACAAAATGCTCATATTAGATGGGGTGCATGACTCTAAACAGAAGAAAAATTCAAATGCTTCATCTGGACATACATTTAATTCCACATATCTAGATATGAGCACTCCAGCAAATAATCTACAAAGGAGCTTGTGGCATGACATTAGTCAGTCCTCTCTTGCCTTCTCAGACACATGCTACATTGCTTCTCTTGTCTTCGGAACTGGAAGAAAAGCACATACAGACTCTCAAGCTCTCACTCTGAGCATAAACCATGGCCTTTTAGTCATGTAGCTTACTAATCCTTCATCCTACTACACTATTTTGAGAGCACACGAAATTCTTTTGCAAGTGCATAGTAAGTAATGAATGTGAGTAGAGAAAAGAGAGGTACAATTTAAGAGGTGGTTGCCAATATTGGCGATTCCTTCAAAAATTTCTTCTTCAACGCCTCCCTTTGAATTTCCCAAATAGGTTCGCCGAGACTGATCAGCTTTTCTCCAAATGACTGTAAGATATCTTCCATCGTATCACCGGATACAGTCCGTTCAGAGTCCTGTGGTTCATCATTAAAGGCTTGCAGGGTCTTCCTTTTCCAGGAGCTCTTCAAGTTTTCAAGCATCCGACAGAACCCCGAATTTGTTGGGTCCACGTTCTTTGCTATGAGGTAGAATGAACTTCTGGTGGCATGACTTGAAGTGGGTTTGAATAAGTCAATCTCAGCGAATTGGCTAAATATATAAAGCAGTTCCACGATACGCGGGCTATTGGCTCGATGCAAAAGCACCACTATGGTTCCACCGTTCTTGATCCTCTGCAGCGCAAGAATAAGCTGGGCGGTCATCAACCGAGTTGCCTCAAACTTGGAGCCAATGGCCCGTTCATGGGTACGGAGAACCTGGCCGTCACAAAAGACTAAGTCGGCTTCTAGTCCGTCAAACGGTCTACAGTCAGAAAACCGTGAGGCTAAAGCATTATCCGGGGGAAGAAGGTCGGGAGAGCCGAATTCAGTTGATAACATGGTGATATCCATCTGCAGTATTTGCACGCGGGGGTCATTCCGCCAATTCTGCAGAAAGATTTGGTGCCCGCCCTCCTCCTCTGGCAGGCTAAGGCCATATATGCGAGAGTATTTATTGTATTTGAGAGTCGTAGCTGAAAATCCTCCTGGCGCCATGCAAATATCAAGGACTTCGAGCTTCCTTGCGTCCTTTGGTCTCGGAATAATATGCTTGTCGGCTTGAAGTTGGTCGCCTATATGTCGCATCATCTTAAAGAAATACTTCTTAAGAGCTTGAGTAGCCGAATCGGCAGCTTCTCTACGCTTCAAAAAATGCTCGTCGGCTGCGGGAGATTGCCAAACCTAAGTTCTGGTAAGTAACCAACATAAATAATTAGATAAAGAACCACTGGCCCTTACTTCTTTCTGGATGACTCGTAGGGCCTTGAAGACAGGTGATTTTTCCTGCAAGTAGGAGTTGAGTATCTCAAAGCCCCTTTCTTCGTCTTCTGCTTGTATACATTCTCTGTTCAAGGGTGAAACTGGTGGACCAGCCATGACGACAAGACACAAAGTCTCAGGGCTTCACCACTGCAATATCCGAGCTGTTGAGTAGTTGGTTTCCTGCCTCCGGTGTTATTTTCGCCTGTGATAAGACACACCCACCCATTTTAATGGGTATGGAGGTAGCTGCAGTAGACCCTGACAGGACACCTCCTTCTGCCCCGAATGCATCCGGCGTGCATCATACTAGACATACATTATGGTAGCACCGATGCTTGCTGGCTCCAATGTTCCCGGGGAATCCAGCTAGATGCAAGCGTGCGCTGTACACGGCCATGTTACCCCTCTTTCTTGAACACAGCGGGGCTCGGGCCGGCCCGTAATTGAACCTTGGTGACTTCTACATGAGCGGTTCAAAAGATGACCTTGGAAGGCTTGTTAATTTAGACAATCGTTACCAAAACAGTACGATCCACAAAGAGGTGGGCAGAGCTTCAATGTATTTAACTAGCTAAGAGTCTAAATGATTCAATGAATCCATTAGTTACCACAATTATTGGCAATGGGAATCTCATGGTATCTCCATGGTTCTCAGTATGGTTGTGGTTGCTGCAAGATTCCAAATTGTGTTATAACTAATTAACTAGTTAACTTAACTAGTAGATTTTCGGGATTTCTAGGGTTCTTCAAGCCCACGAAATCCTGATACGGTTCTCCCTCAACTGACAACCTTCTTCGTCAACATTGCTCAATGGCGCTGCTTGATGAGCGAAACACGCCTGAACATGCGGCCTTGCTGCTTCCACAGTGGGCAGCGCTGCTGTCTTGCTTTTCCCTGGATTGGCAATTATAGGATGTTTGACTCCCGAACGCGCTTCAAGGGCGTGTGCAATGGATGTACATTTCGGTACATGCCGCACCTCCCGCAAGCAGCTGATACATCTGAGATACCAAGCAATAGGCTCTGGAAGGCTCCTACCAACATGACAAAGCTGTTCACTCTGCACTCCACTCTATGGAGCACTTCCGACTGTCTGCACCACCCATCGAAATTGCCGTTACCACTTTACAAAGACAGCGTTGCTTGGTGTTGTTGGATGGGAACGGGTCTTTCCGTCCCACAAGGCCTGAGACAAGCGATTAGGCGCTTGCTATTCTGCGGTTGAGCTCTTTGTTGATAGCATGTTACTCAGATATATGCCGTCAAGCGTGTTTGTCTGACTCTATCCTCGGGCTTTTGATCCCCATAGCACCCGAGAGGATTAAGCACGGACCTCATTTGCCCAAAAAGCTTTCTTTTTAGAATCGTTGCCTGCTATTATACTGGACCTGCTCGCGATTGCGAAAGCGCAGACCATGATGGATCCAGATCCAATAACTACTGCTGCTGCGGATTCTTCCCCGCCAGAGCCTGAAAACCCTTATCTCAAGGGCTGGAGGCTCAAAAACCTCATGGGCGCATTACTGATGGGTATGCTTCTCATTGGGCTAGATATCAACATTGTCGCTACGGTAAACGAGATTCATCCAACGCGAACCTAAATTTATTTGGCATCTATATTATGGTTATAGACTTTGCTGATGTCGCCGTTGTAGGCCGTTCCCACGATATCCAATCATTTCAACAGCTTTGACGATGTTAACTGGTATGGTTCAGCCTTCCTTTTGGCAATGTGAGTCCGAGACGTAACCGTTCAATGGTAAAAAGGGCTTTACCACTCATCCTGCTTTTCTCCTAGGTGTGCCTTGCAGCCGCTTGCTGGGAAATTATATGCGGTGTTTATTTCAAAGGTATGTGCCACAATAATTCCCCAGTCACTGAAGCACCGAAAGACTGACCTTGTTACTCGTGCCAACTTGAACCACCAACGGTGACTGCTTCAATGCGCGACAGTCTAGTGGCCAATACAAACCCATTCTGGAACCGACCGTCCTGTAGGTATTGGCCATTAGATCGGAGCGCACTGGTTCACAAATGTTGGCGGGTCAAGTTGAGCCCGAGAGACTTTTGTAGTACGTTTATGTTACTTTTTTGGCAGTTTTCGAATTGGGGTCTATCATATCTGCTGTCGCAACCTCAAGCAATATCGTAATTGCCGGAAGAGTGGTTACGGGTTTGGGAGGAGCTGGCATCTTTAATGGCTCTTTGGCCATCATGTCTGCAGCAGCCCACCCGGACATTCGTCCAATGGTGATTGCTTGCGGAGTGTCCATGGTTTCTATCGGTGGTATCCTTGGCCCAATAATTGGAGGCGCATTGACAGAACATGCGGGCTGGCGCTGGTGTGAGTTAGGCGCTCAATCCCACATTACCTTGCTCCGAATTGGTCCTAACGTTTCGCCCTTAGGTTTTTGGGTCTTTGTCCCGCCTGGGGTTCTGACTTTGTTGCTTGTGCTAGTGCTTCATGTGCCGGAACATGATGCCAAACCGCCAGTGACATCCATACTCTCCAAGCTTCCACAAAAGCTCGATCTCATGGCCTTTGCGCTATTTGCTCCGTCTTGCATCATGTTCCTGATTGCTATTAGTTGGGGCGGGACTATCTATCCATGGGGCTCAGCTAAAGTAATTGGGCTTCTCTGTGGCGGACTTGCCGTATTTACTCTATTTCCTGTATGGTGTGCCTACCGTGGCGAGGAAGCTCTCATACCCTTTAGCCTAGTTCGGCGTAATACCGTCCTCGTTGCCTCTTTAGTCTCCGGTCTCCTTGGAGGCGCCTCTATGATGGTGGGCTACTATCTTCCGTTATGGTTCCAGGCCATCAAAGGAGCATCTCCAGGGTCTAGCGGTGTGATGATGCTCCCAATGATGCTTAGTCAAATCGTTGGCTCACTTCTTTCTGCGGTTCTTCGTAAGTGGTGAATTGCGGTTTGCTTTTTCCTTTGGAATCGCAAGGCTTCTTCTAATACATAACCTAGTTCGGAAGTTGCATTATATGCCTCCATGGGCGATTTTTGGTTGCTTATTGGGCTCCATCGGTGCGGGACTCATGCTTACTTTCGACGTAAATACTGGTTCGGCCCAGTGGATTGGATACCAGGTTATTGCGGGATTCGGACGCGGAATAGCTTTGAATATGGTCAGTCAGTTAAAGATAAAACCGCACAACATTGAATCTCTGTACCGCTAACGCGAAGTAGCCTTTTATCGCAGTTCAGGAGGAGCTATCTGGAGCGGCGATGGCAATTGCGTCCTCTATGATCACCCTCACCCAATATCTAGCCGCATCTCTCTGCATATCAGCAGCCCAGGCAGTCTTCGTGAACGAGCTAATACCAGCTGTGGAAAGGCACGCCCCAAATATAGATCCCCGATCGATCATCCGGGCAGGGGCAACTGGGTTTGTGAAAATGGTGCGACCTGAGCAACTCTTGGCTGTCCGAACTGCCTACAATGATGCCTTGGTGAAGATTTTTGTAAGTTCGGAACGTCCCTCTCGTCCAAGAGTGTGAGCCAACCGGAGACTGATCATGTCTTGCTAGTTTATTCCAACTGCCACTGCCGCCGGAGCATCATTCCTGAGCTTGGGATTTTCATGGAAGGATGTTGGAGCTGAAAGCAAGAAGAAATCAGACACTGATAAAGCTTAACAAGATCCAATACTTCTTCACCAAATGGTATCCCTCATTGTTCTTTTAGATTTGCAGTACATACATCAGGCATTTTACTGGCCTCTTGCGAAGAAATGTGCTATCCCGGCTTCTCAATTTGTATTTATGTTCTTTCCATCTCTAAACTTTTATACGTGGACCTGCTAAATAGACATAGTGATTAGGTAGAGCCTAGGGAATACAGTGACTGGTTCCAATATCCTGCCACAACCGCCATTCGATTTGCAGAGTCCTATCAGAGAGCCCCAGCTGCCGTCTACTTGCAATTGCTGCAACTACTCACAACACTACCTTGGCTAGGAAGATCTTTTGCACCCGCTCGCTTCATTTAAACCATATCAACTACGTCGTAATGGGAAACAGCAACGAATCCGAGGCAGAAACAGGGGTACGTCACAAAACGAGCCCCGCTCTCCTGTTCAGCGCATTTTTGAAAAAGAAGTCCCCTTTTCTACTCAGCTAACTCTTTTGACCCTTTATAGCCCTGGGCTCTGAAGTAATAGAGCGGAGGCCTCTCCCGCACTAAACAGATTCACAGATTTTCAGGTTCAAAAATTGAGCCAAAGGTGCTCAAGATCCACTGTACGCAACGCGAATTCGAGCTCACAGTGAGGAGGCTGGGAATCGCTCAATTAAACCGCTTGAGCGATGTCTCTGGTCCGGGGAGAGACGGTTGACGTGGATCTGATTGACTCTGGGAGTGCGAAAGAGGTGGCTTGTGAGTATTCGAGGTCTGGTTTGGTGTTTGATTCAAGTTTTCCTATTTTACGGGCTCAGCGTGGAAAGAGATAGGGGCTAGCTATCTAGTTATCAATTTCGATGTGCAGTTTGCCGGTTATAGTATTATTTACCTTTACACTGCACAGAGTACGCTTGTGTATTTCGAAGTAGCATGGGATAGGCTGTGCTTTGGGACAGGATGGGCGCCTAACTGTTTGCTAAGTTCCCTGATGCTTGCTTGCTAGCAGGTCGAAGAGCGTCCTAGCAACGAGATCAATTATTTGCTTCTGGAAATTGTTTGCTGTGACGACATGTTCCTTGGATGAATTCTTATCATCGGATTGATTCGAGATATAACACCCTACCCAACGTCTCAATCCCTACTTCTTTCTCACCTCTCCTTTCCTCTCTCCCATCCCCAAATCTGCCACGCCCCCAAAGTCCTTTGATAATGGCTCCAAAAATCGCCACGGCATGGAGTATTTGTCTCCTCCTACACGCAATCTCCGTGCAATCCACCCTCAGCACCCATAGCCCCTCGCACGGTGCCAATCCAGCCGTCTTCCCACGAGATTCCTCCTGCAACGACCAGAGATTTGCCGGGCTCTACTGCCAATCGCCATCGACCTGCTTCTTCGACCAGAATGGCGTGCCCCGATGCTGTCCGCCGGGCCAGAATTGCGGTCAGCGCTGGGTGGATCCGCCTCCGTCTTCGACGCCGTCGGTGGCTCAGCCCGGTGGTGGGGGGAATTGTGATGCGAGCGGTGGTTCGAACTGTAACACGGTGAATATGTGGCGCTCTGGGGGGGTTGTGGTGCGCTGTGGATATTTGCAGGTGCTGGGGATGTTGATTTTGGTGGTGATGGGCTTGGTGTTTTGAACTGTGTGTTTTTTTTCTCTCAAATGAAGTTTTTGGTGATATTTCGCGAATATCAGATCTCCATCATTCGCTTTTTCGGATTCCTGGGCATTTCTTCTTGTCTCTGGCGCTCTTCAGCGGAGATATCATCGACATTCGTCCCTCCTTCTCCCAGCCCATGTCCCGCCTTTGCAATCTTCAGAATCTCATCCTCCATCCCCTCCACCAGCTCCCACCCCACCCTCGCCGCATCCAGCATCTTACAGCCCTGCGACTCCCCAACAAACGTCCCCGGCTCCTTGACCCCGAAATACACCCTGTCGATCCCGCCCCGTCCGTTCCTGCGCGTCTCCACGATCCTCGTCGCGCACGCTTTATTCCCAGACAGCCTCTCGCCGCACGGCTCCATCGTGACATACATGACTATCTTCGCATGCGGGTCATCTCCGCGCTCCTGCTGCAGCGGTATCCCCACGTCCTCTTCCAGCACGCCGTGGTGAGAGGCGTATTTGGAGAGACAGCATTGTTCGGCGTGGGTGTTGCCGCGGAGCTCGAGGGTGTAGCCTGTGGAAAGCACTCGGTCGTCGAGGGTGGTTTGCTGGTCTGGGTCTGGGTCTGAGGCTGTTGGGTATCGTCTGAGGAGGAGGATGGCGCCGACGCGGAAGTTGGTGGGCTTTGGGGGGGAGCAGGCGGCGAGGGCCAGGCATTGGGAGAGGTAGTGGAGGTGGGTAGAGAGTTCGGTGGTCATGTTAGTCAATTCGCTGGGAAGATGGGCAGTAGGGGAGAGATTGATTGTGATGATTTCAATGGGCTGAGGGCTTTGGTTTTGTGCACTTGATTCCTGGTGGTGAAGCTGGCTGTGATGACGCAGTTTGTTAGTCAGTGCTAGTTAATTAGTTCCTTGTCGCGTCGCGTCTCTTAATTGACTTGTCGCGTTTTGAGCTCTTCACTTGATCAACAGGACATGAAGCACTTGTTGTGAGCTCAGACTACATAACTACTCGGTTTGATCAAGTAGAGCTATCTATCATCATGCCCCTTGAAGAAGATGATCTCCTCACAGAGGAACCTCCGTGCTCTATCAACCCGTACAGTGTCCTGGGAGTGGGCGAAAAGGCCACCGCAGATCAGATCAAAACTGCCTACAGAAAACAAGCCCTGAAACACCACCCAGGTTTGCTTCCTGTTACATTCTTCACGGCTCTTTGCTATTCCCTGGAGGCTAACGACTTCTCTTTTTCTGAGCAGACAAGGTTGCCCCCGCATCCAAAGATGAAGCACACAAGAGATTCCAGGAGATCGCGTTTGCTTACGCCATTCTTTCCGACGAGCGTCGCCGAAAGCGCTACGACGCGACCGGCGATACGTCCGAGTCCCTGGATTTAGAGGACGATGACTTCGACTGGGTGGATTTCTACCGCGAACAGTTTTCTACAATGGTTGATGGTAAAGCTATTGAGAAGATCAAGGCCGAATACCAGGGCTCGGAGGAGGAGAAGAGAGACATCCTTGTGGCATATCAGGGGTGTGAAGGGGACATGGACGGGGTCTACGAGGAGGTGATGCTGAGTAACGTGCTGGATGACGACGAGCGGTTCCGGGAAATCATTCAACAGGCGATTCGCGACGGGGACGTGGATGATTGGCCGGCATTCTCAAAGGAGACCAAGCAGAAGAGGGCCAGGAGGGTGAAAGAGGCGAAGAAAGAGGCCAAAGAGGCGAGAGCGCTTGCGAAGGAGTTGGGCGTTGAGGACAAGCTGTTTGGGGACGGGAAGAGCAGCGGCAAGAAGAAGGCGGGCGATGATGACAGTGCGCTTCGGGCGTTGATCCAGCAGCGTCAGAAGAGCAGAGGAGCGGACTTTTTGGCAAATCTCGAGGCAAAGTACACGTCAAGGGATGCGAAGGGGAAGAAGAGGCGGACGGGGGAGTCTGAGCCGCCGGACGAGGCATTCCAGAGGAATCGATCGCGGACGAAGAAGCAAAAGGCGGGCTAGTTTCCGATATTCGGGACGATCGCACTTTTCTCCGTGTCACAGTTGTTCTCTATAGGTTTGGGCATCTTTTCTTGTTCGTTTTTCTTCTCATAGCTGTTTGATCGTGTATCTTTTACAAGGCGTCGCGACGGATTGGAATGGAGGGATCCGGGAGACACAATAGGAGCATAAAGGGAGTCTTTGATACTATTCAGCAATCAATATAACGATATACCCAACTCCAGTATATATATGCATCGCCGCTGTCCTCTCGCCAAGCGGTGAGCACGAGATGATCCTGCTGGCGACGATGCGCTCGCCAATCACTATGGCATATCCAGGCGGACGGCGGCTCGCTGGCCTGCTGGTTCCAAATGATTCACTTCTTCCTCTCCGCCGCACTCTGTCGTCTCCTCTCTTGTCTTCTCCCTCCCGCCGCAACATCCAGGATCTTCCCTGACTCACGCCATGCTCCGTCAGGCTTCCGATCCCTTGACGCCCGCTTCTTGGCCGGCCCTCTTCCGGACTTGGCTGTCGAGTCGTTTGCTTCTCGCCGAGACCCTAGCAGCTGGCGGGTGCTTCAGCCACATGGAGCCAGTTCGTCCCCTCCTTGCGCTTCGTGGATATATATCCCACTGGGCCAGTTCATGCTCTTCCCTCACATTGTGCACGTCTTCTATTTGTTTCTAGTTTCTATCGTCGCGGCGACCAAGTTGGTGTCTTTGTCGGTGGCCTTTTTTCTGGTTTCTGGTTGAGCGCTGCTCTTGTTGAACCTAACTACAACAAACTCACAACCGTGTGCTTTGATACGCACACGGCTCATACAGCGTGTTTCTCCTCCCCCTGTGACTGTGATTCTGCAGAGTAAGTGTCTAGCACCTTCTCTCCCAGCTGCTGATGGACCCTTGCTGACCTGTTTGCCACTCTGCCGTCAGTTCTGGAGCAAGATACCGTTGCTTTGTCATACCCTCTGCGCCGTACCGCATCGGCCCAGAAGCCAACGCCGGCCATTCCAGTCAGTGTGAGATAATCGCAGGCTCCGTAGTGGGACCGACAAGGCCTACCTTTCGAGGTCTCGAACCACGCACTCTGCGCTGCTTGTCCCCACGCCTGAGCTAGCGACCGTTACGTTATAATAAACCTGATCCCCCGCCTCTGCCCTGCCGGCCGTCGAAGATGTCACAACCGCCCCAAATGTCCCTGGAAGCGGCGCTCGACGAAGAACGGCGAGAGATCCTCGATATTCTAGAAGGCCGCAGGCATGCGCACCAGCCGGCTCCCCGTCCTGGGCGCCAGGCCAGCCCCGCGCCTCCCGTTCGCAGCATGCTCGACATTGCTCCCGATCCTGGGGCCCAACGCCATGGCTCGATTGCTGGAATCGGCGTGGGTGTAACACAGCCTCCCAATCGAACCACAGCCAAGCCCGGCGCTGGTGTGCGGAGCATGCTGGAGCCATTGGCGCCCTCTCCTCTACGATTGACGCAGAGCGCGACCTCCTCGCCCACCACCGACTCTGCACCCTCCCACGAGCCAGCGGACAACCATCGCCGCTCGTCGGATTCATCCGCCAAGGGCCTGCCGGAGATCAAGAAGAGGCAAGGAGTGGATCCACAGCAAGATTACCAGTTTGAGATGCTTCCCAGCATCCCAAGTCATGCGCTCCCGAAACGTGTCACGCAGGGTGGGAAGCTAGGACATCATAACAATGCGATGCAGACCAATTCTATGGCTGCTGTAATGTCTGGGGGGGACATCCATGCGCCATATCCAGCTTTGCCTCGTGGACGACAGACGGGAAGACACCCTTCCTTACCAGGGAAGTCGAAATCTCCGCCTTCGCGACTAGGACGGTCCCAATCACCGGGCGGCAAACTACTCAACAACAATTCGTTGAATTTGATGACTACTCCGGGAAAATTCGTTACTGATTCCGGCAAGGTTATCAATATGGATCATGCGTATAGAAGATTGTCAGCTGCTGCGCTCTCAAGATCGGGCGGGAGCCTGGCTAGCTATCCCGGAAAGCCAACGGGCAAACACGATGATGTTGATGGAGCTGCTGATGGAGATGCGCGCCTACAGAAAGATTATTACTTTGACACACCGGAAGGTGGATTTAGCGAAGATTACACCAGCGAAGATGATGTTGACGATACTAGTTCTGGGGAAGACGCCTGGAAATCTGAAATCCACCGGGGACGAAGACGAATCAGGAAAAAATCCGACATTGAGACTGGAGAAAGTGGCAGCAAAGGCGGCGAGCCTAGGAAGGTTCAAAGCTTACTGGCTGCTGTTAGAGAAGAAGCCTGCGTTTAATTTTACCTAGAGGTTCTACCAAAAGTTGAATTGCTGACACTGTGCTCCAGGCGCCAAAGTATCCTCAACCTACAAGGTCAAGTCCTTGCTTGAACCCGTCGCACCGCGCACAGCGAAAGCAGCGGCAGAGAAACCTCTCAACAGAAAGACGGGAGTGCATCCGAACACCAGCTTTGATGTCACTGCATCTGCAGGCAATACACCGGTGGGCTCTGAAGATGAAAATGAATTCTCCGACATCAAACAGGCGCAGAACCTCGGCATCTACATGTCAGTTGTGGACCAGACAGTGCCGAATCGAGTGATTCGCACGATCATCCGCGGAGACTTTACGAAAATGCAAGAAGAGGGTGATCATGGACATCGCCGGTTACGAAAGTACCTGGTTGCTACCGATCTGAGCGAGGAATCTACCTACGCGCTCGAATGGACGATTGGCACGATTCTGCGGGACGGAGATACCATGTACGCGGTTTACGCTATTGAGGAAGAATCGGGATCGGGCAAGTCCAGCGGCGATGGGGACAGCATCTCGTCACAGCACATCAACGACGGCGCCAAAGCGATGTTGGATATTACAGCGACTGTCGGGTCCCAGACCGAAAAGACTTTGGGTGATTCGAATCGAGCGTCGGATCGAGCATCTGCCTATCCGTCGCCTCGCGGGTCTGCCATTCAATTAATGTCCGATAGCAAGACCGGCTCAATTGATTCCCGCAGTACCTCCAAAACGGAAGCGGATAGGCTCCGCGCCATTGAGCTCCTCTCGCAGACTGTGATGAGGCTGTTGCGGAAGACGAGACTGCAGGTCCGGGTTGCGATTGAGATTATTCATTGCAAAAGCCCCAAACATCTGATAACAGAAGCAGTGAGTTCTCACATGCTTAACCTCCTCGGCAGCTGGGCTCTTGAGCTAACTTGGTGATACAGATCGACGCTCTCGAGCCTACCTTGGTTGTTCTAGGCTCTCGCGGGCGCAGCGCTCTCAAGGGGTGAGTTTGGTCGAGGATTTGGTTATTGTTGGCAGAGCATAGCTAACTCAACTCTTCTACCAGAGTCCTTCTCGGCTCGTTTTCTAATTACATTGTCACCAAGTCGTCCGTTCCCGTGATGGTTGCGCGGAAGAAGCTCCGCAAGCACGCAAAGTATCAGAACACACACGTACGATTATCGAATAATCTCACTACTCCGAAAAAACTTGCTTTTGCGAAAGTCGATTGATGTCTGGCGTTATTCTGGCTCAATGGAGGCCTTTTTCTTTTTTTTTTCCCACTCACGCATTGTTGCACGCCGAGAGCATAGGGATTCTGAACTGTAGGAGTTTTTATAGCGTCAAGCTCCGTATTCAGCGGACGGGCGTTGGGTGTGTTGGGGCCATGATCCCGGTTGCATGTTCGAGTATTCTTTCCTCTCCATTCTATTCTCTTTGATGATGGACCATGAAGGCCTTGATGCCGTGGAGTTGGGTGCAGATTTCGGTATTGTTATTCTCTTCAAGCATGCATTTAGCAATTGAACTGCTCCGTATTCGACTTGACTGTATCCTAGGTAGCAGGCAATAACATACATCTTAATCTCCAGCAGCAGGGTCTCTCTCCGAGTGGCAAAGGAGAGCATCTCGCTTCCAACTGACCCGACGAGCTGGTGAATAAGATGCACCCGCATCGTCTATTAACTAGTATCTGATCTCTGATTGATGCGTGATCGCCGCCACAAGGCACACGCTAGAATCTTAGCCGAAGCCTCGTCGACTGTCGCTGGCCAGGGGCCCCTGCTCCGGCTCGTCCAGGCGTTGCACGTTCGATTCTTCGCGTCTTCCAGTCCGATGAAAATAGCAGATGGGCAAAAATGTCCGACGTGCATCTCCAACGATGTCCATCGCGTGTTCTGGCGGTTCTGATTGGGCTTGCCGGGGGGGAACGGTCTGTACGACGTTCCCTGGTTTGCTTTTTTTTTCTTTCTTTCATTTGTTGTCTCTCTCTTTTTTTTTTTGGATGTTTGAAGCAATCGGGTCGCAGGTTCAAAGCGGACAATGCATTCGACCCGGGCTTGACAGGGTGTCCCGTACGGCCTGATGCCAGTGTGAAGTCTGATTGATTTATTTATGTTTCTTTTTTGATGCGCCGCTACGCTGTGCGTCTTGATTGATGTCTACAAACAGCTAGCTGGCCTGCAGGACGAACGATCAAGGCCGATTCACCGTCCTGTTGGTTCTACTACAGTGTCGGGGTGAGATTCATCATATATATTTTGCTTTTTTCCTGCTGGAAAAAGCGCCTCTCTCCCCCTTCTCTCTCCCTGTGGATGCCGACGAGACCCGGGAGCCGGATCTTTGTTGGCTGTAGGTCATCCTTCTTTGATACCTGACGCCAGCATAGCACAAAAAAGCAGCAGTTCGACCGGGCACAGCATCCTGTTCGAAGTTGCAGCCGGAGTGGTAGCGGTGCAGAAAGAATGAAGGTGAGATTGGAAGACGAATGGAAAGAAAGAACAAAAGCGCAATTGAGGCATTCTGAGGAGGCATATCCAAACTGACACGACGTCTATAGCCACGGTGGACAGCTGCAGCGCGCTTCCTCGCCGCCCTCTGCTCAGTGCATCTGGGCCCTGCCGAAGCGACGCCTACACCTGGAGGACTCGCCGTTCGTTACTCGACCATCAACCCCAAAATCACCCTCTCCTATAAAAAGGTGCCTCCGGGAATCTGCGCAACCGTGTCTCCGCGCCAAAAGCAATACACCGGCTACGTCTCCCTCCCACCCGCGACACTGCACCCGGTGGGACAAAACTACTCCATCAACACCTTTTTCTGGTTCGTGGAAGCCAGGGAAAACCCGCGATCCGCGCCGCTGACGATCTACCTCAATGGCGGACCGGGAATCAGCAGCATGCAGGGTCTGTTCCAGGAAACGGGGCCCTGCGTCGCGGTAGAACGGTCAAAGCATGAAATCGGCACGGTGCCTCGGGAATGGGGCTGGGATCGGGCGTCGAATATGCTTTACATTGACCAGCCTGTGCAGTCTGGGTTCTCCTACGATGCGCTGAAGGAGGCGTCGCTGGATTTCCTGACGGGGGCTTTTACCTCTCCGCCTACCGATCCTCCGCCGGGTCGCTCGCCCGAGACGTTTCGTAGAGGCGTCTTTAGCTCGAATGAGCAGACGACCACGCGCACAACGGGAATGGCAGCCAAGGCGATTTGGCATATGCTGCAAGTCTTTTTGACGGAGTTCCCAAAATATAAGCGTCACGGGGATTCTGCAGAAATCAACGTGTTTGCGGAGAGCTATGGAGGGAAATACGGACCGGCGTTTGCGGCGTATTTCCACAAGCAGAATGAAAGGCGGAAGAAGGGAGAGATCCCCAGGTCGAAGACGGTCGAGATCAAGGTCAAGACATTGGGAATCATGCAAGGCTGCATTGACGACCTGGTTCAGAATCCGTACTACCCGCTCTTCGCGTCCAACAACACCTATGGCCTGCATATCATGACTCCAAAGGAGGTCAAAGCATACCATGACCGGTTCAACCTGCCTGGAGGCTGCAAGAACCAAATAAACGCTTGTCGAGACGCAGTCCGGTCGTCAGACCCCGACGATGTGGGCAATGTGAGCAGCGTGAATGCTGCCTGCTACCAGGCGACAGCCGTCTGCAACGGAGAACTGAGTCAAGTGTTTAGCAAAGTGGGCCGGAGTCCTTTCGACATTGCACAGAATGTCTCCAATCCCCTGCCTCCGCTGACATATCTCGAATATCTCAACGCGCCCAACGTCCAGCGTGCGATTGGCTCGAGGGTGAATTTCACAGAGTCCAGCGGCGCGGTGAACGACGCTTTTCTCCAGACTGGCGACTTTAGTCGAGGCGACTACATCTCTGACCTGGGCTCGCTGCTCGACAGCGGCGTGCGCATCGCCTTGATGTACGGCGATCGCGACTATATCTGCAACTGGTTTGGGGGCCAGGCTGCCTCCTTTGCCATCGCCGCAGCATCCAAATCCTCGTCGCCGTCGTACGCCGCCAACTTCAACTCCGCGGGCTACGCTCCTTTGATCGTGAGCCGGAACCGCACCGGCGGCGTTGTGAGACAGTTCGGCAACCTCTCCTTCGCGCGCATCTACGACGCAGGCCATTTTATACCGCATTATCAACCGGAAACCGCCTTCAAGCTGTTTAGCCGTATCATTCAGGGGAAGAACCCGTCGACTGGCGCGCCGATTCGCGACTTGTCTCGGTTCCGAACGGACGGCGAGGCCAACTCCACGGCCACCCATCCTCTGCCTGCACCGGCACGGCCAACGTGCTACATCCGCAAGGCGCCAGGGACGTGTAGCTCCGATCAGATCGAGAAGATGGGCGCTGGCAAGGGAAAGATATTCAACGGGGTATGGTACGAAAAATGAGCCCGATAGGGGGCGGTAGCTCTCGTTCGGCACTTGAAAGGTAACACGCGGGTCTGATTATATATCTCTGCAGCTTCCGGGCTTTTTTGGTAGACGGGGCCGTGTGAGTCTGGCTGTCGTGCATCTACAGGTCGAGATGTGGTGAGAATTGGGGTTACATTGCCCGCGCTCGATGTTGTCTCATATCGACGGATCTCGAGCAGGATATAAAGTAGTTAGATTTGAGAGGTTTGAACAATCAACAACTTGCTTTTTAGATAAGTGAAGCAAGGCAAGAGGTCCTAAGATCGAGAGGTAGATATTCCGATATGAAAAGAACTTGTTCAATTGATCTATGTACTGGTGTTGAGACCAGCCATATATAGGCATCTCTAGGTATAGAATGAACTAGTTACAGAACTGATATCTGATGGCTTTAACAATATTCACCTCTAACTCCGGAATGCCTTGGAGATCAATGGAGATAACATTACCTCCGACACCGAGCTTCTGATATCAAACAAGAAGAATAAACAACAACATGCTTCCTTTCAGTATATAATGGCTTCACTCTATGTTCAGATTCATCATAACTTGCAATTACAGCCAACATGCCAGGCCCATACAACACCGACACCACGACAGACGACCTCGTCTCCGACTATACAAGCCTCATCAAGGGCAAAGTCGTTTTGACCACAGGCGTCTCTGCAAAGTCGCTCGGCGGCTTCTTCGTACAATCGATCGCTGCAGCCAACCCGGAATGTCTGATCTTAGCCGCGCGCAATGCCGAAAAACTAGCCCAGATGGCCGCAGAAATCACCGCTGCCTATCCTACGGTGAAGGTGCGCACTTTACAGGTTGACTTGGCCTCCCTACAATGCGTACGTGCTGCAGCCACGGAACTCAACGGATGGGACGACCTGCCAGTCATCGATGTGCTCGTCAACAACGCGGGAATCATGGCTGTGGAATACCAGCTCTCGCCGGAGGGCTTCGAGTCCCATCTGGCCACCAACCACCTGGGCCCGTTCCTGTTTACCAATCTGATCATGAACAAGCTCGCGGCTGCTAAGGAACCACGGATCGTGGTTGTTAGTAGCGATGGCCATCGATTAAGCCCGGTCCGGTTCGATGATTATAATTTTGACGTATGTGTTTTGCCAATATCAAGGTACAGTAACTACACTTGGAGAACAAATTACTAACCAGTGAGCATAAATATAGCAAGGGAAGACATACAACAAGTGGTATGCCTACGGACAGAGCAAGACCGCCAATATGCTATTTACAATCTCGTTGGCACGGAGGCTCGGCATCAAGTATAAACTACAGGCTTTCAGTCTTCACCCGGGGGTCATCTGGACCAATCTGGGGAGCCACTTGGACTGGGATACTGAGTTCGATGGGCTTCGTGTGTCTCTCTTTTCTTTCCGGGAATACAATCTACTTTTATTCATTCAACTAATGCTGCAATAGGAAACGCGGACAAGATCCTCGGTAATGCCGAAGGTTGGCGAGAATTCAAAATTAAGCCGCTGGAAAGAGGTGCTGCCACCCATATCTATGCGGCCTTTGATCCGAGTCTCAAGGGTACGTTTTCTTTTTTACTTGGACAACCAGCTCTCGTGGCTACGCTATACTATTAAAATAATATACTGACGTTTGGGCAGCCAACAATGGGGCTTATCTGATCGATTGCCATGTTGCGGATCCTCTAGTTGACACGGTCAAGCCGTGGGCCACCAGCAGCTTCGAAGCAGAAAGACTGTGGCGTCTGAGCGAGAAGCTTGTTGGGCAGGAGTTTTCCTACTGATGGATGAGTTCTCTTTATAGCAGGGCGTTCTCTGTTAAGAACATATATACATATGTACCCTTTTGTCAGGAGAGCGCTCTGTGCTATCAATAACTAAGTATATTCACTTCACTAGATTAATCAAGTGTATGAAGAAATCAAATTGAATCAAATGTATGTACAAAGAATTGAATTGCCGGAACCCCTACTATATTCTGACACTAAAAATGTAAGCAGTGAACAGAAAAAGAAAAGAAGTTGATATTGCGGGCTGTCCTCCATAGCAGTCAATTTGACTTGGCTTCCGCGGACTATCAGCGGAGCCTGCGAAGCTTCATTGCTTTGTATGCGAGCTGCAGCTGTTGAGAAACATGGACAATGGACCCGTTACATTTCTCAATTTTGGCTGCCGGCTGGCGATCATTTCTGCAACGGCGGTTTGAAGTCTGTGTTTTGCTTTTTCTTTTTTCTTTTCTTTTCTCTCATCACATTGACACATTGTACGGAGTATCCTCCGGGCTCATTGATGCTCCAAAGGAACATCCTCTTGTAGACAGAGGGGGACCGCTCTGTGATCAGACAGGCTGATCTTTTCCCACGCCCGCCTCCATCGGTCTCTTCGCCCCAAACTGAAAACCCCAGGCCACCGGGCAGATCCCCCTGCCCATTTGATATCAAATTCCCTCCTCCTCAGCATACCCAACGCTGCTCCGGAGCCGATCTCCTGTCGATCTGTCACCCCGGATTCGACGCCGTGAACCGTGACGGTGCTGCATGCGTCCATGACTCGAGGGGTGGGACACGCACATCTTGTCCCCCCCCCCGGCCCAATGCGGAGCAGTTTCAGGAAGCTCTCGCGAGTGAGCGAGTCTGCTTTGCCACTTGGGTGCGGCCGAAGCCCATGGGTCTCACGCTTTTTCTGCTTTCTGCAGGGCTAATTTGGAAAAAGCCAATCTGTGCCACCTTTCTGCTCTGCTGTGCCCTGAGCAAGATTCCTATCCTGGCGGAAAGGGGGGATCGGAGAGACCATGGTCCATGGCTATTTCGACAAATTGGCGCTGACGGGTTCCTGAAAGAAAGTCTGCTTATGGAATAGCTCGTGGCGTGCGGACATGCGCTCAGGAGAGATATATAAATACCTTTTACCCGGCCGCTGGGTCCTGCTGACCGGTCTCTCCATACACAATTCACATTCCCTCCCTCATCTCCAAGCTAGATAAGACCAGAAAAAGAAGAAAAACAGCAACAATGGTTCAATTCAAAGCCCTCGTCTTCGCTCTCGCCATCTTCATGGCAACCGCATCCGCAGCCCCAGCAGAAAACGACGTCCCGTCCGACAGATGCATGCCGGGATGCCATCCCAAGAAAGCCTGGTGCAATCCTCCATACGTAAGTGCTCCCAATCCACATGGCAATCCCAAAATTTCGGATGTTCCTGAATATATGTACCGAAAAAAGAGGGTCGATGGCTAACTTAGTTGCTTGCTGGTATAATAGTACGAAACCCCGTACAAGCTGCCAACTAGAACTGTATGTCAAATCTGAGAGTTATTCAGGGGGGTATCAATATTCGCTAACTTTTTGGCAGTGCTACCAATGTTGCAAGAGATAAATTCCAAGCCGACAGCTGGGCAGCGTCCGCTATCAACTCCTCACGAAAATGAGCCCGAGAATGTGACCGGAGGGATGGAGAGAAGGAAACAATATTTTCGGCTATTCGTGGAGTCGATTGAAGTGAAAGGAAACCTGTGGGCTAGACTGCCAGAATTAAATGCAACTTCATAATGCCTCGAATCATCCTATCTTCAAAGGATTTTTTTTATCAACGGTTGGAAAATATTTGTCAATGGCTTTTATGCTTCAAGGGCCGAGCCTGACGGCTCTTTAACCAGACAAAACAACATGGAGTTGCTACCTGTCCGGTGTTTTTGCACTTGGACATCCAAAAGGGGGGCATGATCCCATCGATTTCGCACTATCAAACTGCTTGCTGTTATTTCAGGTATGTCAATTTACAACAGCAGTGGCGCGACCCTTTTCTCTGCTAGAAGCCAGGCCTGCTTCCACGCCCGAAAAGATGAAATAGAGTGAAGAGGAAAAGCGCACCAGATAAATGTGCGCTCAGATATGCTCTATATACAAGGGAATCAAATTCAAATACGTTCAAGGTCATGCAAGTCAATAAAGAAAAAAAAGTATAACGCCTGTTCCAGAATTAGATGTGGCTAACGAGGCAGGGTATTGTAATTGCACAGTCAATTTTTCTCAAAGAAAGAGAGAAAATAAGAATAGACAAGGTGATCCATGGGTATATCCAAAACCGTCGTATATGATTCAGCATCAACGCGAGAGACAGAGAGGGAGGGAGAGAGAGAGAGAGATCCGTCTGCGCAGTCGATGCACACAAGCATCAATGGTCTGCAGGGGGAATATACTCCTTTGACTGATGCCGTCGAGGGCTCGCTTCCAACTCGACCAACTGCACTCCGGCCCCTGAACTCAACTCTGGCGGTCTCTCCTCCTGCATCATCCCCGGAGGCTGATATACACCCAGACCATCCCAACTCAGATGCCCCGGCGGCGGCGAGCGACTCTGAAGCGTGGGGTTATATGGCCCGCTAAACCGCGACATGTCCGGCGACAACATGCTCGCATGGCCCGGCTGCGGTGTTGGTGCCGCCCCATCCTTTTCGGTCCGGCCTGACGTCGACCAGTCGCCTCCGCTCATCGCCCATCGCCGCGTGCGGTCGTTGCTGCCTTCTTCCGAGGTGAGCCACTTGCGGTAGACGCGGTTCCGGCCGAGCAGGAAGAAGAGCAGGCCCAGAACTGCGATGCCGGCGACGCTGCCAATCACGATTCCGGCGATGGCGCCGCCACCCAATCCTGACGAGGATGGCGCGGGGCTAGGTGTTGAAGATGGAGTGCCGGGGGTGCCTTCGGCAGGGGGCGATTCACCGGGGACCAGCATGTATGGATATTTCAGGGCTTTTGCGTATTGTTCCGCCCAGGTCATAGTGCGGTTCTGCATGGCAAAGTCAGCAGAGATTCAAAGGCTGAAGTGCAGCTGAAGGGATTATGTACCGGATTGATCACGCCGACCATTCCATTGTCGATGCAAGACCCAAGGGCGGTGCAGTAGAAGAACTTGGGCTGCAAAACGGTCGATTGTCAGCGATATCAACTCCCACTCCGGGGTAGATACAAGCAGCAGGGACAATGGCGCGTTTACCTCAGTGTCATTCACAGTTAATCTCCATGTTGGCGGCTAGAATCAAACAGCGTGGTTAGCACCATGTCGGAGGTTTGGACAATCAGACGACAAGAACAGACTCACACCGCCAACTAGCACGCCGTCACTCTCGTGAAAGGAGTTGAATATTCCCGAGTAGAAGAAATCCCCAGATGCGGGCACGCATGGCGCAAGGTAGTCTGCCTGCACCACCGAATGATTGCGCGGAAAGAATTCGAACACGATCACGTCGCCCACTTTTGCGTTGACGGTTCTGGGGACATACTGATGAGGGTCGACTTTATGTCCTACCTTTACAGTATGGGTCGCCGACGCTGTCCTCGAGCTCGTCCTTGTCCTTGTGTTCGTCCTCGTCCCCGTTGCAGTCCTCGTCGGCCTGGGAGAGTGAGTCGCTGTGGGCACTGGGTTTCCCGTCCTCTGTGCCGCAGTGAGCACCACCAGTTGCAGGGCGATTGGCAGTAGAGCAAGTCGTGCCAGGAGACGATTCAGCATCATGCAGGTCGTCTCTGTTTTTTTTTCTCTTCCCCCTTATTTGGATTCTTCAGCCAGCAAAGGAATGGTATCAAACGAAGAGTTCACTCCACTTCCATCAACTAATTCACTGGGGATGACGAGAGATGGAGAAAAGGACACAAAGAAACAGCGACAAAAGGCGCAGGACCACGTTGCGGGCCAGATCTGCAGCGTCCCCAAAAGCAAAAGAAGAAAAAGGACGTGAAAATCCACCGAGAACATGGTTCGGCCGGCATGCACTTCCCGCCCCAACAGCCCTTTCTTCTGGAAAACATTTTGGCCTAGTCAAAGCCACCGGCAACACCGTCATAGATTGGCTGTGCATCGCAAGTTTTGGGGACACGATCGTCTGGATTTCATGTTGTGATCCCTGGACGCTCGATGCAACTGGAGCATGAGAGACACGGCCATGGGCGCAGGAATCGGACAGAGCCTGAGAGCTGTGCAGCCAGCTTCTGGCCAAGGGATCAGTTGATAGTCCCGCTTGGCGAGCAGCACAAAAGCCTCCGATGGTGTCTGGCTGTCCAACGAAAACGCTCGATCTGCTCCATCGACATTTGGTGCGTTGGCGATCACTGCGGCTGACTCGGGGACAAGGCTGGAGATCCTGGCCACTCTGGACGGAGGGTATATCTGGTGTTGGCATCCATGTAAACAAGACGAATATCAAAATCCACAGCAGAGGGTGTCTGCTCGTGTTGCGAGTGTCACTCTGGGGGAGCAGCGCGTTTTTGACTTGGAGTGATGCGAAATATATTCAGGGCCGAACTGTGTGCCTTACGACTAATAGTAAAAAGAAAAACCCCAATCTACCCAAAAAGAAGAAAACAGCAAAGGGGCAACTGCGACTGGATACATTGAAATCACGACGGACGCTCTGCCTCGTTTCAGACCCTCTGGTCACGCATCAATTAGATTCCCTTCGGCTGTGGTATCTCCGCCGCTCGTGTCCCTCGTGTCCTTGGTTGGTTTCGACGACCGAGTCTTTGCAGAACGCTGGTAATATTCGTCGAGAATCTTCTTCGGGATTCGGTTGAGAAGGTGCTTGGGATAAATTCGGAGCAGATTCCATGCAATGTCCAGGGACTCGAAGATTGTGCGAGACTCATATGGCGACTGTGAGATAAAAGTGCGTTCGAATTTATCCAGGAACTCGAGAGAGAGCTTGTCTTCAGCGGAGAGCGCCTCCTCACCAACGACAGCCTTCATGGCAGCTGTTGAAAATGATTCGTATTAGCAGAAGACTTACGGCGAGGACTGATGAAGAGAGAAACTAACCTGCATCGCGACCGATGGCGTATTTTGCATACAACTGGTTGGAAACGTCGCCGTGGTCACTGCGAGTACGCTTCGCGCCAATGGCAGATTTCATGAGACGGGAGAGGGAAGGCAGCACGTTGATTGGTGGGTAAACACCCTTGTTGTACAGCTGGCGGTCGATGAAAATCTGGCCCTCAGTAATATAGCCTGTTAGATCGGGAATAGGGTGCGTGATATCTACAGAGGTCATCAAATCAGCATCATGGACAAAATTGGGGTCCAAGCAGGGGGAGGAGATGTAAGATACCGTCGTTAGGCATGGTTAAGATCGGAATTTGAGTTATGGAACCATTACGGCCCTGCACACGGCCGGCTCGTTCGTAGATCGTAGATAAATCAGTGTACATGTAACCGGGATAACCACGGCGACCCGGCACCTCTTCGCGGGCAGCAGAAACCTCACGGAGAGCATCACAATAGGCAGAGAGATCAGTCAAGATGACAAGGACGTGCTTTTCTAACTGGTATGCGTAATATTCTGCGGTAGTCAAGGCAAGGCGGGGGGTGATGATACGTTCAATTCTAGTACTTTTGTCAGTTTCCCGCAGTCCCGTCACGAGCTGGGCCGAGACTTACGTTGGGTCATTGGCAAGATTCAGGAACAATGTCACGCGCTCCATACTACCGTTCTCCTCAAAGTCTCTTGTGAAGAAGCGGCTGGTTTCCATGTTAACACCCATGGCAGCAAACACAATGGAAAAGTTGTCGTCGTGCCCATCGTGGACATCCTTTGTCGGCCTCACAAGACCCGCTTGGCGACAGATCTGGGCCGCGATTTCATTGTGTGGAAGGCCGGCTGCGGAGAAAATTGGAATCTTCTGTCCTCGAGCAATGGAGTTCATGGTATCGATGGCGGAGATGCCGGTCGAAATCATTTCTTCGGGGTATACCTGCACTGGCTGTGAGTGGAGAGCGCCCGCGAGCTGTCAGGACCAGCACTTACTCGGGAGTACGGGTTGATGGGACTGCCGTTGATGTCCAGGTAGTCCTCGGCGAGCACCTTGGGGCCCTTATCGATGGCACGGCCGGAGCCGTCAAACACCCGGCCCAACATATCTTCGGACACGCCGAGCTTGAGACTGTGACCGGAGAATTCGACTTTGGTCTTTCCAGTCATCAGCAACATCGGAAATGGCAACCGCATCACCCACGCGCTCTCACCTTCTTCACGTCGATCCCGGATGTCCCCTCAAACACCTAGATGGCCCGCCAGTCGGATTAGCGGCAGTCACACCTGCCAGACGGCGCGGGGTCCGCTTCACGCACCTGAACAACGGCCCTGTTACCTGTCAAACCAGTCCACATTAGCGATATTGCGGCGTCTACTCGGCCCAGTGCCAGTTCCACACGTACCCCTCGCTTCAAGGACCTGGCCCGATCGCTCGGACCCATCGGGCAGCGTTAACGACACGATCTCGTTGTAGCGTGGGAATTTGACCTAGGAGCGTGAATCCAATCTGCCGTAACAAACAAGGAGTTCGCTGGCGCATACATTATCAAGGAAAACTAGGGGCCCGTTGATGCCGCCAACGGTGTTATAGCGGATCCGCGGCTGGACGGACATCATCCGGGGGTCTTCGAGTCCCGGCGCCATGGTGGGAGACACACTTGGCACAGCTACAGCTTCAACAAAACAAGTGAGGAGAAGAGAGAGAGAGGGAAATGCAGGTTGCCAGAGGTTGATGGCCGGCTGATGTCTGTCGTCACAGCCAAACAGCTTGCTTGAACAGGCTAGAGTTGCACGTGATGTTAACCTAATTAGCTAGTTGGTTAACTTTGTAATTAACAGTTAAGTGTGTCATTCCTGCTGACTAACATCAACATTAGTCAGCCCCCTTTCCCTCGCTTCCCTCTCTTGTCGCTGTTGCTCAGCGGTGACAAAAGTGGCCGCTGGGTCATAGTCAAACGGACCTGTCGCCTCCCAGATTGCCTGCTCTGCATCGAGCTCCTCCGGGTACACGGTAAAACAGTGCTCGATTTCGCTGTAGAAATCTTTCCGCCAATCTCGAAAGCCGTAGTAGATCTTGGTGTACTCCCAGTACTCGGGAAACCAGCCCGCAAACTCCCAATCGATAATCGCGGAGATCTTCCCGTCATTGACCATGATATTGGACGGCGATAGGTCGGCGTGCGTGAACTTGGTAGCGTAGCGGTCGGACCGGCCATGCACCTGAGCCACGATCTCGTCGCGGGTCTCCCAGCTCTCCAAATCCACGTCGAGTCGCACGTACTGATGGAACTCTGCGACACTAAACGGGCCCCATAGCCGACTTCCCAAGCGTTGGTCATATCCGGACCCCAGCGAGAGGGAGCCGACCACCCCGTCGCGAGGGGGACGCAGTTGCCGCAGCTGAGACACATATCCCGCAAGCTCTTTCACAATGTCTGCCTTTTGCGCCGCCGTCAACGACCTCCATGCCATTGCCAGATCTTGGCCGGGTACACGCTCTAAGAGCAGATCCTGATAATCGCCATTCCCCTACGCTTTGTGCACAGCAGGGATCGGGATTGTCGTATGTTGTCGGACGTACTCCATGGCCTCGCGCTCCGTTCGGCGGCAGTGTACCTTCAAAAGTTTCCGCGGCCCAACATAGAACACCTGACGCGACGACGATTCCCCATAGAGCTTTTCCCCCAGCCAGACGCGGAATTTCATCCAGTAGGGCAGGCTGCTTGCAGTCAACATGTTCGGATGGGAGGAATGGGCGTTGTCTTGTTGAAGTCAAGACGAGGATCAGAGCAAATCATCCCATGTTGTTGCACTGGCAGAGAGAAGAACAAAGCATCTAACTACCAATAACACAGCTTGATTCACAGACATATCCCAAGTACCCCCAAGGGCCATTCTCAAGCATTCATCAGCAGTGCACTTTGAGCCTCTTTTTGATTTTGAATCACCAGATACAAGGGAGGTATTCGCTGTGAAAAGAACTAACCATACACTTTCCGCTCACATGCCCTGGCCATTCTTGGCTATAAATCCATAACTTCTTTCACTGTTAAAGCTTGCATAGCAATCATACAGAGCACTCATGCCTCATGAGTTATTACTCACTTTTCTCTTCTCTTTTCTCTTCTCTTTTCTCTTCTCTTTTCTCTTCTCTTTTCTCTTCTCTTTTCTCTTCTCTTTTCTCTTCTCTTTTCTCTTCTCTTTTCTCTTCTCTTTTCTCTTCTCTTTTCTCTTCTCTTTTCTCTTTCCTCTTCATGCTCACACTCAACTTAAAGTCTTATTCTGATGTGAGGCTCTCTCAGCTAGTCTGCTGCCTCTCTCAAAAATTGCTGATGTCAAGAATCCTTACTCTCAGATCTCGGCTGGTATCTGACACTTCATATTGATGGCAGTCCTCTCAGAGTTGCTTTTATTGAGCTTTTGAGGGACAACGTCGACTTGAATAAAAGAGAACTCGCATATCATGCTTAACTACATAGTTGACCCCCTATGGCATTTCTCCGGCTCCATAGAGCGGCATACTATCCAAATACCCGAGTTCCCACATGTGCTTGGGCTATTTTCACTCTTACCCTAATAAGTGACCCTCACTTGTTGTGACATCTGGTATAAATTGTCACTTGCCGGTCATTGGCAGCCTATCCATACAACAGTGCACTCATGCTGTATGATGCGTATAGGGCAGTCCTTGGCCCAGCAGTTGCTTCACTCATTACTCCAACTATTACTACCAAAACATTGGGTGCTGTTTATTTGATTTGCAAGGGCCAAAATACGCTGCCGTACGTCTCTCCCGTCAAATGTTTTACCGAAACTTGATTTGCAGTTACTAATGCACGATGCTTGCCAGCGATTCCACCTATGGCCATATTATCAGATCATCATATGCTGCTGTTGCCATTTCTGAGCATGGCCACAAGGTCGAGAAGAGTGAGCCTATGCTCACTGTTTGGCTGAACTGCATGGAGTGGGTCTACACAAAGCATTTGGACAAGCTCTGCAACCACCAGCAGAGAAATTTACCATCTCAACCGAGTGCATGGATTACTTGGATTGTGGCATTTCCCCACCTTTGATACCAGAGGTTCAACTGGTGTTTCGCCCGTGGTGTCTCATTGGTTCTTACACTATATGGATTTGGACGATGGCTTTATTTGGACACAGTGGGAGCTGGGAGGCTGAGAAGTCGTTATGATTATCCTTAATTATAGTCTTATGCAGGAAGCAGCTGGCTTGACTGCAAGACGAAAAACACCTGTTTCCATTGCCATGCCCCTAACATGAAAGGGTTTGACTTTGCAGAGAATGAACGTTAGTACTCCTACTATCTCTACATGAAACATATCACTGATTTCTTATATAGACAACAATCAGGGGGCCCTGACAGCAGGGCTGTCACCATTGGTGATGTACGACCCCAGGTGTGGCCAGGGTGCAAGTGGTTGTTCCAGTTCAATGTGGGCTGCGCAATACCATTCCAGACCAGCACAGACAGGTATTGGTCTATTCAGCTTCTACCGACGATTTATCTCCTTCTTTGCTCGTATCATTGCGCCATTACAGAAGGTCAAACACTTGGATTTTCCGGAAACCCAAAGTCAGGACGCGCCCGGAAGAAGTGGGCCTCTAAAACAACTACAAGAACTGCTCATGTCTCAAGAGAATGCAACTGAACTGCTTGCTAAAGTGCCAGGCGCCTGTCTTAAAGTTACCAGACTTTGATAAGCCCTTCAGTCTGCATTGTGACGGTTCAAAGGAAAGAGGTTTCGGCGCAGCTATACATCAGTTAGATGACACAGGTGTAGAACGGCCCATTCTGTTTCTATCAAGAGAGTTAAAGGGCGGGGAGCTACGATACGAAGCTACTGAATTGGAAGCCGCTGCTCAATTCCTCCTGGAGCTTGAGTCAGTTTTGGGTCTGTCTGGGGGCGCGAACTCTTTTTTGATAATTGCCTTGATTTTTTATTTTCTTTTTGTTTCCTCTCTACAATCCGTCAAGGACTCCTGACAAGGAGAAATGTAACTATCTTAATGCCCAAGAGAATATGGACAATGTCTACATTGATAAATTCACAGTGTATGCCAGAAATCTAACCAATGATACTAATTAAGAAACTGATATCAACTACAATGTCTGTATTTCTCTGCCTTCTTTACACCAAATTTAATCTGGAACCCGCCGACTTTCCAAAGGGAAGCTTCGTTGCCAGAAAGTCCAGATGGAAATAGTAAAACTCTATTAACTATATACAGCGAAGTTCCAATCGTGCCAGACTCAATATTAGCTTTTTCTTTTACCATAATTATCGTTCAAAATCCCTCCCCAATCGCCCAGATGCACACGTAGCAAAAGCAGGCCGTTTCATATCCGCCAGTTAGTTACTTTTGAATCCATTCAAAACCTCAAGTCCCATCCGATCTTGGGTCCAATCGCAGGCAGCGCATCCGCCACACTCTGTACGTCCTTGTCGCCGCGACCGCTCAGATTCAGCACGATATTCTTTCCCTTCTCCATCTTTTTCGCCAGCTCAATCACTCCATACACCGCATGCGACGATTCCAGCGCCGGGATAATACCTTCCAGCTGAGCAATCGTCCGGAACCCAATCAGAGCCTGCGCATCCGTGGCGGCAATGAACTCGGCTCTCGAGCTATCTTTCCAGGAGCTCAACTCCGGTCCAACGCCCGGATAATCAAGGCCAGCGGAGATGGAATGCGTCTCGGAAATCTGGCCATGCTCATCTTGCAGGACATAGGTGCGGACGCCGTGGAGGACGCCCTTGGTTCCGCCTGAAAGCGTCGCTGAGTGCTTCCCTGATTCGACCCCGTCGCCTCCCGCTTCAACACCGAGGAGTTTGACGCTGGGGTCGTTCGCGAACGGGTAGAACATGCCAACAGCATTGCTGCCTCCACCAACACAAGCAACCACCGCATCGGGGAGTCGACCGGTTAGTTCTTTCATCTGTTTCTTAGTTTCTTCGCCGATGACCGACTGGAACGTGCGCACAATGGTGGGGAAAGGGTGAGGACCAATTGCTGAGCCTATAACGTAATGCGTCGTTGGTAGATCAACAACCCAGGCGCGGAGTGCTTCGTTGACGGCATCACGGAGCGTCCGAGACCCTGCTTCGACAGCTACAACAGATGCACCGAGAAGCTTCATCCGGAAAACATTAAGTGCTTGACGTCGGACATCCTCGGCTCCCATGTAGACAACACACTCCATGCCAAACTTTGCACAAACAGTCGCAGTAGCCACACCATGCTGACCGGCCCCTGTTTCGGCAATAATCCTCGTCTTTCCAATCCGGCGAGCAAGGAGCACTTGGCCGAGCGCGTTGTTGATCTTGTGACTTCCTGTGTGGTTGAGATCTTCACGTTTGATGTAAATATTAGCTCCACCGGCGTGTTCGGTTAAACGTTGGGCGAAGTGTAAATTGCTAGGTCTGCCCATGTAAGGATAGTATGAGCGGTATTCTTCCCAGAATTTGGGATCGTTGTTGGCTTCGTTGAATCCAGCCTCCAACTCCGCCAGACAGTCCATTAGTGATTCCGGAACGTATTGTCCGCCAAACTCACCAAAACGCGCTGGTATCGCAGCCGGATCTCCAGTGACGTTGAGAGCTTCAAGCTGGTCTGCGAGTCCTGGCCCCGAAGTGGAAGCTTCCTTGATGACTCTGTCGACGTGCACTCCAGTGGGTTTTTCTGCTTCAGTGATGGCTTCGGTGAGACCGACTTCGCGCGTAAGAGGTTCGGAAAGCTTGCTTCGGTCAACGGTTCTTCCCGTAATACTTGTGCAATATTCCTTGACCTTTTGAGCGCCTTGTCCGGCAGGGGCGTTCCCTAGCACCGTGATCATCTGGCTTCCAATGACAACGCCCTCTGCAATCTCCTGTACGCTCAAGAAGTGTTCCCTCGTGCTAACACCGAAGCCTACAGCAGCAGGTATGTTGCCAGAATAACTGTGGACCCGGGAGAGAAGTTCTGGCAACCCCGAGCTCAATCGACCGGTGGCGCCAGTGACGCCCATCCTCGACACGACGTAGATGAACGAGTCGGCAATTTTACATAGTAGCTTCATGCGGGAATCGGAGGTGGCGGGCGCAATCAAAGGAACGTATGAAAGTCTACAGGTAGACGCGGAATGGTTAGCACCGATGTAATTCCACCTTCAAACAGGGACATCGACCCAACTCACCCTTCCTTCTTGCATAAATCTCTAAATCGAACGGCTTCCTCTGGTGGCAGGTCAACCATAATAAAGCCGTTGACACCCGCAGCTTTCGCGTCCTTTAGCAGCCTTTCCTCGCCATACCGCAAAAGCGGGTTATAATAACCCATAAGGAGCACGGGTGCCCTCAGTCCTCGATCTCTAGCTGTGCGCACCATCTTCAGCACAGAGGTCATGGTCACGCCATGTTCCAATGCCCGAGTATTCGCACGCTGGATCGTAGGGCCATCGGCGATGGGGTCTGTGAATGGTACGCCGAGTTCGATGACATCTACCAAAAGAAAGATATGTTAGAGGAAGCTATCGCCAAATCAATTTATTCAAGATATACTAGGCGGATCCTTACCGGCGCCTCCCTCCTCCATGCCCAGTACAATATCAACCGTCTCATCGGGGTGAGGGTACCCCGCAGTGACATATGCCACCAAGGCAGAGCGCCCTTCTTGCTTGCATTTCGCAAAGGTCTGCTTGATACCGTCCATTGTGAGCTATTCTCTTTCAACCTCTCGTCAGATTGGTGCTTGTTAAACGGATGCCCCTATGCTTTTCGCTGATGTCCGATAGAATTGCGGGGGAATTGACTCTTCGAGCCGAATTAGAAAGGCTTTACTGAGTATAAAAATAAAAGAAAAAGAAGAGACAATTGCACCGCAGGACACTTGAATAGAGACAGAAAGCAGAAGAGAGGAAAAGAGTGATCGATGGAGCGGCGGCAGTTGCGTGAGTCACCTCGTGCGATCGCGGGGAGCAGAAGCCAAAGTGTGCGATAACGAGCTAATAAATGGCCCAAAGTTAGCTTTAGCCAGGAACACAGATCGGTCGCCACCAAAGAATTTTCTCCTGGTAGACAGCGGGGGTTTGAAGCGCAAAGGCAGAGGTGAAAATATTCAAAAAAAAGATCAATTAATTCAGCTATCTGAGTTGATGCCCAAGAACTCCTCGGCATATGTCCAGTATAAAAACCTCACTTATTAGGATCCATTGCGACAGGTTCGCAGCAGCAAAATCGCCTGTGAAAAACGATTCCATAAAAATCAAACATTATTATCAAAAAGCATTCGATACAAAACAGGGCCCAAATTAGCAAATGACAAAAACACCGCTTTTCCTGTGCAAGACGCCAAAATATCACAAGTCCCAATCCCAGATCCGATGCAATGCGTGTAAAGGAGCGGCTGATGCTAAACCAAAAGAGCATGCAAAAATGTTACAAAAAAGGAGTGTGCTTGCCCAGTTTTCCTTCCCATGCAAGTATATGCGTACAAACCGACCCTACCCAGAAACAAGCTGCTTCCAACAAGGTATAAAAGTGCTCTATTAAAACAAGGCACCGAAAGGCAGAGAGAGATATTCGGAGGGGAAGTATTAAAGAGTGCCTTTGGTGGAGTGGACCATTAATGTGCCACAGACGCAAATTCAGAGATTAGAGGCGTAGTAGAGACGCCATCCGCCCGCCATCAACGTAAAGGAGGGAGACATGATCAGGGGGGAATCATAAAGCAAGACAAACCAACCAACGCCGCGCTTGTTTCTGACAGGTCGTTAAAGGAGTGGCAGAAGGAAATTCGTGACCATGGTATTCAATATGCATCGGAGGTGTAAAAGGAGCGACTGTCGGGACCAGCATCTTCCAAAGATGAAATCGCTCGCACCAAGAAAAACAGCAATATTACAAACCGCTATGCAATATAAAAAATTATCGATTAAGATAACCAAGGCGATTCGGGAGACGATAAAACGAGGCGGAGAGTGGCTTTCAGAGTTTCGGGGAGTTGTACTGATATCCCGTCATAGGAACCGGGTGCTTGCTCTGAGGGATGCATGGCGGGACTTCTATACACCACTGGTCTGAAGGCCCAGAGAGTAGGGCGACGGAACAGTGTCCCGGCCAACTGAAATATTTCCAGGGAAGGAGTAAGTCAGATCCTGAGGCATCGTAGGCGTAGAAGCAACCGAACTATTGTTGACAAATGCATCGAAATCAAACGAGGCGTGCCGAGGAACCATGGACGGCGACGGAGCTTGGCGAGGCTGGCCGCGCGGGAAGTGATAGCTGGCATGTTGCCCGTCAGTTGAAGGAACCACAACGCGAATAGGCCCCGTCCCGGGGATGTGATGATGTCCGTACGCAGCACGGAAATGAGAAGGCACGCCAGGAGCACAGCTGGTCACATCCACGATGGAAGGTGAGGTTCGAGTATGGTATTCAACATTTCCATTGGCGTTCGAGTTGACGGGATAATTAGACCCAAGCGGCGTTTGCAGAGCCCCAGCCGTGGAGGAATAGCTGGCGGACTGGAGTATGGCCAAGTCAGCATTGGACGGTTAAGACTCATATGGAATTCAACTTACATATTTCCCAATGATTTTCTTCAAGGCATGGGCAAGAATTCTCCATGGAAACACTTTCACATCTTTCTCAATATTTCTCGGCTTTGGATTCGGGAATCCCATGATAACCTTGAAAAAGTCTTCGCTTTCAGGCTTGGCCTTTGACACAGTCATCGGACGGAAACCTTCTAGGTTTCTTCGAATGCGATTTTTCTCTTCCACGGTAAACCTGACACCGACAAGCGACTCGAGAAGGTAGATGGTGTCAACACTGGTAACAAAGCACTCCTTTTTGCCAGCCCAGTAGATGCAACTAATGCAAATGCTGTTGGGAACTCGATCGGCTGGTGCCACAGGCTTGAAGTCAGCATGAATGGTGCTGCCAGTCTGATGACGTGTGAATTGCACAAGTCGTCTTTGAACATCCTGTTCGTCCTTGGTCCAGTTTTCTGTCATGGAGTCGAGGTCACCATTAAGCTTGAGGACTGCCTTCGATGGATACATCGCATACGGGTTAAACGACTGGTTGGAAGTCGTGCATCCCGACCCTGCGAGCGACTGTTGGATTGTGGAGGTCCGGATGAGGGTCGGATTCTGGCCAGCCCTGACAGATAATGGGAGATCCGGAGTCTGAGACACTGAAGTCATGTTGTATCGGGGATTGAAATCCGCAACCGCGCTATCCGGGAAAGATGGACTCCAGGATGATGCGAGAGGGGACGGTGCCTTGACCCTTGATTGAGAAATGCTGTTATACACATCAAGCTGGGGAAACGGTGACGAAACACGCTGGTTGCTGGCGGGATATGCAGTCATCGAGGCTGGGGTAGGCAGATACGGAGAATAGGGGGATGCAGACAGACTCTCCGCATAGACCGAGCTTCTGGGGCTATCTTTAATTCGTGCGTGTTTCACCGACACCGAGTTGTTTGAAGCTGAGGTACCATCTGAGCCACAAGACATTCTTCTCTTCCGAGACCCTGGAGAGATTGTATCAAGAGACTGCTCGTATCTGAAAGTACCGACTTGTGCCATATGAGTCGTGGGACCGTCAGGATCCTCCATTAATAATTGGACCGGAATCGTAAGAGATGTCGACTCTGTTGACGAAAATGAAGGGGCGTTGGCCGTAAGCGCGTAGCGGAACAAGGTACTCTCGACGCTCAGAGACGTAATGGAGCATTCGCAATGAGAAGATCCCAAAATCAAAGTGAAAGTCCACGGAATGGGGCTGAGAAGGTCGGAAGTCGACTGTATTTGGACTGATAATTTTGTGCCATCAGAGCCAGTGGCTGGGTCGAACCCGATAACTTCGGGCGCCGGCCGCGAAGACATCTCCAGACTTGGCGAGCGTGGAAAGTCGAAAGGGGAGCCCGCATACCCACTATTGGCTACATAGTGGATACTTTCATCATCTGAAACGGGGTGGCTCTCCAAGATAGGAGTAAAGATTTGCCCTGAATACGGCGCGTGCGCATATGCAGGCATCGCCTCATGCTGAAGAGCTCCAGTGGTCCCATCGTAGTCTTAAACGATATTCATGTCAGCATTCGTCTGCTCAAAAAACAGTCGTTGTCCGTCAGATTCTGGGGACGGTCGGATGCTACTCACCCAATAGATCGGCTGATTGACACTTATCGTAAGCCGACATAGACAAAAGGTCCCCAGACTTGGCCAGAAGGCCGTCCGAGAACGTTCCCGCGAATCGTGATTCCTCTGGGTCTGAAAAGTCGACAGATTCGTCAAATATCAGGGGCGACTGGAAATCCAAGTCGAACTAGGTCGGGGTGTCAGTGTTTCTGCGTACATATCCGCGAAATGTGGATGCTTCCCAACGTTTTTCGGGAAGCTACATATAAAAATAGAGATGGCAATGCATATTAGACTTACTTGATTGTTGAGCCCCTTTGAGTACGCCAGGGTGACGGTATTGCAAAATTGCAACTAGAACAGATTTGGTTTATTAAGCGAGTGACTGAGATCCAAGGATCTCTAGAGCTTCAATGTCTCGGAAGCGTCAAAGAAGCGCTTCGAAGCAAAACGAGTGACGGAAAGAGACTGTCAATTAGTCTCAGAAACACACAAAGCACAAGAGCCGCGAGCTAACATCCAGGAAACAGAGTCAATGGCGGAAAGAGGTTGAAATGGTGCGCCCTGATGTTTCTTGAGCGCAAGTGCTTCAAATGCAAATTCACCTGTGCGTGTTTCGGAACTTGAGAATAGAATTGCACCACAAAAAGCTAGTTACGGGTTAGCACTGGCAGCACCAAAGTCGACGTGCGGGAAGCAGCATCATTCATTTGGCATAGACTTACCGAGCGATTAAACAAAAGATACTCAAAAGCGTCAGCCGCGATCTAGATGTGTGTCGGAAAGTCAACCACACTGGCCTGAAAGAAACGAATGTCAGTCTGATGTATATATAGATATCAAACGAAAACGTCGCGAACCATGGTTCCTAGCAACCTTTGCGGCTACCAGCCAATAAAACATACAAAACAAATGACAGTAAAAGCAAGATGTAAAAGAAAAGGTAATTCTACTCACTTGAGCGATCAGGATTTGCCCGTTTTGCAATATACACGGCCAGAAAGACGAGAGCGGCTGGGCTAAACGACTTAAACTGTCCGTGCCAATCCGATATCCCCAAGCGTCGAGAGTATACTTGGCTTTTACTGCAATGCAGAATATTTGATGAGTTGAGTCGTCGCACACCTGCAGATATTGGCTGAATGACCGGATGTATACAGAAAGTTCGAGCACAGCGGGCCAAGCGATCGAATTTCACCCTCCGGTGTCAAAGAGACGGATTCTCTGCGATGTCTTTCACTTTTGGCGAATATATGTGTATATATTTTTTTTCGTTGTTTTGTTTAATATGTAGAGTGGTTTTTCCCTGTCTCTTCTTCCGTCACCCAAACTCCTTCGAGACCCCGGGGTGAGTTCTATTGCGAGACGGGAGAGCGAGCGTGTTCCCCAGCGATTGAAATCGATAGCACGGATTAAGCGATGCGAGATTATGTACTAAGATAAGCTGTAGAGTTGAGGTAGATTATAGTCTGCCGTCTTCCGAAAAGCACCAAAGCAAGTAGCGAACGTAAATTCGTCGAAAAGCGAGTGTGTAGTTCAGGGAACCGAACGAAGGGAAAAACGATGGGAACAGTGATCTTTCAGAGCGTCATGGTTGGGGTGAGGTTGCGAGGGAGGGAGGAAGAGGAAGAGAAGAGATCGGGAAGCGGGCGACGGGCGGTGGTGATAATATGACGAGCGTGGTCGGCCTGGGAGGTATTTTCTGGAATGCTACGGTCCCCGCCACAAGCCAGAATCGCCAGCGAGCAGCAGGGGGTGGATGACCGTACGCCGTAACTTACCGTACGTGACCCATCGAAGCAAACCACATGGCCGAATAGGACGTTTGTGTGGCCCGGCGTGCCAATCACCGCCGCCCCCTCGACCCACCCGAGTCCAAACGCGATGCACAGGATCCGGTTTTACAGAACCATACCTGACACGCCCTGCTTCCCCTCCCGACCGGTTGACGAGACGCTGAATAAGCCCACGACCAGTCAATGGCGCATCAGGCCGGGTGATATGGGGACAGCGGACAAGGATAGCATTTGCAATTAATCTATCAAATCTTGTGCAGCGCAAAAGTCACCCTGATCTGGTCAATCAAGAAGTGGCTCCGGAGTTAGCATACGAAGCGAGCTGTAATCTATCCAGAGGCGCTAAGGTGGCAGGGAACAGCCGAGCACTGATTAGGCGCAAGTCGGATCTTCGACACGAAACCACTAACTACAGATCAAATAATTCGCAGGACCAGCTAAGTGGCCATAGCGTGTCCCAGGTTGAGCACCACAAGAGAAACTACCAGGGAGGGAGCTTCGTGAGCTCTGGGAACCAGAGCTGTCATCATGTCGCATGGGCAGCTTTCCCTCGCAGGCGCCGCTCACTTTCGCGCTTGGGTCCTGGATGCACTGCCTCTCTCGCCTGATACACAGGTGTCCCTCCAGGTGGCAGCCTTGGCAAGGAATAATCACCCATCTTGTCACACTGCAAACTTTTGATGTGAAGAAGCACCAGGTAACTTTGGGAGTGGTACCTGCTCCCAGATACTAGCCTAAACACAGCTGCTCGCCTCACGCCGTATTGAATCATTCCCGATGCGGTAAAACTCTGGGTCGCCAATTCTTGCCTCGTGACGACACCACAACAGGGCTCCTCCATGCGAAACACTTCACTCCAGCATCCCTCGCACCCAGGACGCAGAGCGTGGAGGATCATAAAGGGTGAAGCAAGCAGGAGGGTGAGTGCCAATGCCATTGTCCTGTCCGTGCGACTGGCCTGACTTTGGCTCCCACAGAGGAACGAGAAAGGACCACTCGAACGAGGAAGAGGTTTGTTGGATGCGCCTATATTTAGAACACCGCCCAAGGTTAGGCTCGCGCCACTCACCCCGATTCCCGAGGATCCATTGCGAAAACAACGATTTGACGGATGGAGGCTCTTGGAGTATCATCGAAGTTCACACAACAACTACGCTGCTACGACGTCAGAGCCGACTGATGATGGTCTCCCTCTTAGAGGCATCGGGCTAGCCGAAAATTCTACTAGAATCTCGAGAATTCGTGTCAAACGGGGCTCGTAGTGGGGAAGCTCCGTGAACAACTCCTGCACAAGGAGCCCCGCGACTTCCGAGTCACAGCTCTTGCAAGCTGCAAGAATTACAGCTGGTGCATTATCATCGGCTAATTGGCTAGATCGACAGCTTCAGCAAAAGCCAAAAGCAACCAGATAGACATGGACGTTTCAACGTAGGACGCCTGCGGAGGAAGTGTTTAGCCCTGGACCTAGCTCGGAATGCGGGCCTGGCATCCAGACATCCTCGTGCGAAACTGGGCTTGAAACCGCTTGTACCGGTCCCTTTTTTGGCGACTTGGGGAATCGCACTGGATGACCGACCTTGGTCGTTTGACCTTGACATCAAGATGAAGCCAAGACTGCCCAATGGTAGACCTGATAAGCGTGCCAGACCACTGTCAGCAACGGGTCACACTGATGAAAAACGGTCAATGGTGATCCATATTCTGCGATCAAGCCCTCACTGGCGTTGTTTCATATCAACCAGTCGATGAAGCCTCTTGTGTCTGGTGAGCAAAACTCAGCTCCCAAAAATAGCACACATGATTGTGAAGACTTTCAAAAAAGGAAAAACACGAACAAAATGGAGACAATTCTCAGTTTATGGCTTCTCCATTCGTCCCCTCAAAAACAGTGGAAACGGTAGGCTTCAATTCAAAAACGTCGACGGATGTAAAACAGCGGATGAAAACTCTTTCTCGAGCTCTTCTGGTGTTCCTTGATCCTAATTTTAGAACCACCGTTTGGTCAACAGAATTGTATCATTTTGTATGTTTTGTGGTTTCTGTTCCCAAATTGGCACCCAAATCTGAAGCGGCCCGACTCGGAAGTTTTCCACCATCAGGTGACACTTTATGAGCACACAAATGTGACATGAAACGAAGGGCTTGCACGAGGCAGGGTGGTTTGTTTTCCCTCCTCACGCGGCGTTCTTGCGGGTGACTCGTTCTCCCGCTTCCACTGCTCTGCTGGTTCCCCGGATTCTGGCTGAAAAACAAATTTTAGGATTCGAGCTTGGGACGTTGTTGGGTGCCGACTGGTTCAAGCCTCCCACGTCCCGACGGGGGCACCGTTTGTTGAGAGCTCCCAGGTTCATGGAGGACGGAGCTTGGCTCCGATGGGGTTTGGCATCAGACCAAGGGAGGATGAGTATGATCCCTCCGTAAATTATTACAATCTGCTTGTCAGTTTGATGATTTTGTGGAGATTTGCGAAAAATTCTCCTTGGGAAACCAGAAACCCTCTTTTCTTTTTTCGCTTCTTTTTCTTTGCTCGTTTCATCCTTCGCTGAACCTCAACAGCTTCTGGGCATATGAGCAATTTTACTGACTTGCCAGGGTGGATTTGCGCTTGGACTCCCGGGCCATTATTGTGTGATTTGCTGTTGAAAAAAAAAAAGGCCGGGATGTGGAAGATCAAACGATACCCCAGGAAATTCATTCGATTATCCGCATATTTGGCAGAAGTTTAATTGCACCGACAGGTCTTCTTATCTCTAGTTTTCCGGTAGGAACTGGCTTCGGATTGCTACTGTCAAAACACAGGACTGACTAAATATTGGCGGACTGCGTGCCGACTGCTATGTGCATCAAGGATACCATGTCCGAAACGACAGATACCGATCCTCGTTGGGAGAAAGCAGAGATGGACAGACAGGGTCTGCGTTGCATTCGAGCTCTCAAATCTTTGCTTGGGCAAGATCACGCAATATCTTGAAAATCCTACTCTACACGAAACGAAAAATGATTCGCCATCCTATCAAGCGTAGCTCCAATGTCTAAGAAATTGTCTGTGCAGGTGTGGTTCTAGTAACCTATTTGGGCAGGGTATTGTTCCTCGATGAGAGATTATACGCCATGGATCGAATGAATCGCAGAGGAAACAGCGACATGAACATACAAACTGCAAAAACGCGTTATTGGGGGATTCCCGCGGCTTGCCGGAAAACTCAGAAGCCCAGTCTAGTCCGGCAAGCTCGTCAAGGGAAATTACAGCTTCTGGGAACGAGAATCCACTTCCATGTACGAATCATAGATTATTCACGAAGAGGCAGAACAAGACGCTCCTACAGCTTGCTCTCAGACCCGCTGCTGTTCGCGATCTGAATGACCAGTTTTCCAAATTGGCTCCCCTTTTTCATATCATCGAAGAGGCTGTCGATTGCCGGGATGTTATCAATGCCCTGGACAACGCGCCAGACGATAGGTTTGATGCTCTGCTGCTTCACGAAATCGACCATGTCTTTGAATTCCTTTCTTGAGCCCATGGTCGAGCCCTTGACGTCGATGTTCTTCAACACTGCTTGCATAAGGAAAGGCATCTTTGGCGATACCGTCATGCCATAGATGGAAAGCACTCCGCCGGCCTACAATCAAGATTAGGGTGAAGATCATTACTGGCATGGGGGAGGTTTGACGAACCTTTAGGAGTCTACTTGCTTTTTCGACAATGTCGCCACCTGCACCATCGATGATGGCGTCGAAATTCCTCTTCCCCGTTGGCAGCATGCCAAGGAGTTTCTTATCCCAGCCCTCTTCTTTATAGTTTACTCCTCCGCGAGCCCCGAGCTCAATCGCCTGCCGAAGTTTCTGCTCGCTTGAACTCGTCACATAGACATCCGCCCCTCTCGCGGCTGCAAACCGCAATGCCATCAAGGCGACTCCGCCGCCAATCCCGGTGATCAGGACTGCCGCACCGGATTTGGAATTTTTGTCGCCGGCCTTGGTGACGAGGGCGCGCCAGGCAGTTAGGCCCGTCAACGGCAGCGCAGCAGCCTCGGCATCATTCAGATGCTCGGGCGCCAATTCCACCTCGCTCACGTCCACCGTGACATACTCCTGCAGCGTGCCCTTGGGGTTATTCTTCGTCCCGCCCAGAATGGCGTATCCGGTCGGCGACTCCGGTCCGTCCTCGGCGTCTTTCCAGCCAGTTCCCGGGTTGATGATGACTCGCTTTTGGATCCAGGATTCTGGGCTGGGGACCTGGGGACCGGCGGAGACGACGATGCCGGCGCCGTCGGCGAGGAGGGGGGTATCGAAGGAGACGCCTGGGTAGAGGTGTTGGCGGATGAAGAGGTCGCGGTGGTTCAGGGCGGCGGCGGTGAGTTTGATGAGGAGTTCGCTGCCTTGCGAGGTGGGTTTGGGGATGTCCCGGAGGGCGAGGGGGTAGTAGACTTTGCCCGCCTTGCCTGGCTTGCCGTCCGGCGAGCTGACGGTGATTGCGTGCATTTTTGATGGTGGACAGGACGAGGTATAGAGATATCTGACAGCTGTAGGGTGGATTGGAGATGATGATGATAATTCAACGATAGCTTCGGTATATTTGAGGTCCTAGGCGCTCAATAGGTTACCTGAATATTCCGCTATTCCATTCTATCGAATGCAAGGTCATAGATGATGAGCACATACCTATATCCTGATAGATATCCCAAAATCCGTCAACCTGCAGCTTTTTTAATTGGAGGTACTGCTTTCAACGGTCATCCAGCTACAACAACGGCCAGAACAATCAGCCTTTTGGAAAGGACGAATAAATTGACCAAGACCAACCCGCGACAATGTTATGGCAGCCCTCGTTTAAACCCGCACATGGAGGAGAGCTTACAAATGTGACATACGACTTGGGATTCTTCCGTCGACCGGCTCGGCTACTCTTTTTCGCAGCTTGCGATAGTTATCTCGGCGGGGAGGGAGTTGAGTGAAGCTCCGGACGGCTTGAGGCTGTTTGGTGGTGGGCACATCACTAAAAACCGGCCAACCTCGGTTTGTTTCTTATCTGTTTGCCCGGACCGAGTAACTAACTAGCGGACTAGTTAACTAGTTGACTAGGGATGGTCGACGGTTTGTCGGTAAACGAGGTCTCTTGTCACAGTCTGCGATATTGGCTACATGGAGTGTGTGCTACTTGATTGTTTGCTGTTTGTGAGTCTTGTGTAATTATCAATGATGAGTGGGAATAGCAAAGGACTTTCCATTTCACCATTTCTACCAGGCCCTGGATATGAGTAACTAGACAAGCGAGTACAAAAGCCAGAACCAAGCGAGTGATTTGCCCTCCCTGTCATCCCCTTCATAGCGTATAAAGCTATGGACAAAAAGAAACAAAGCAGTAAAAACTATGGCACAGCGAATGAATTTGTACATGAATCAACCCATACAAGACGCCAAAAGCAATAATCAGGCAAACGAGTGAAATTATGGCCGTTGTTTAATTTCCCCACCTGGGAGTGTACCAGCGAGCATTCCCCCTTTCCCTCGAATACGAAACATTGTCATCGCAGTCTGCGAATCTCCTACCTGGATGCGGCCGGGGAAGCAGGGACCATCCTGAAATCGTGGATGCATTGTCAGAAGACAAGGACGACGAGCGCCGTCGCCGATGGGCCCCGTCAAACACGAATTCATCGTCAGAGCTGAAGTAGGAATCGTCGTAGAAGGGCATGATGTTGAAGTCGTCGTCGGAACTATCGTACCGCGACGAGCCTGTCACTGGCAGCGGGCGAAACCGTGCTGGTGGTATGTGAGTTTGGTCTCGACGTCCGAGTCGTAGCTTTGGGCGTCGCGGTTGGCGATCTTGGACGTATATTGGGGCCGGAGGGTTCCGGGGTCGACTTGGATGCAGCGGTGTAGCTCGCGCCGGGGGAGGGCGCGATACCAAGGCGCCCGCGTCCTGATGGTGATGCGGGTGAATGTTGCGATGGCCGCCATTGACAGGGTACTGTGCTGTCTGATGGCAACGCATGCAGTTACAGCCGACTCGGTAGCTGGCACATTGGGGCTGCTGAGTCTGCTGTCTGTGGAGGTTTTCGCCGCTGTAAAACCCTGCGCCGTAGTGCTGGTAGGGATGATTTCTGGCGTTCCGATGGCCGGGCCCGGAGAAGAGACTTGGAATTCCTAGCCGGTCTCTCCAGCCGGTAGGGTCAGGTGGTTGACGAGGGCGTTGGCCAAACATGATCTCGCACTCTCATTCTAGGTAGCAAGGGCTTCAAGGGTTGATACTTGGGGGGTTCCGACACCCCCAGTACTATTGCTCTCACGGCTTGGTATGGAGCTTTTGGTGGAAGTAGAATGTGATCGAGTAAACAGCCCTTGAATATGGCAAGAGGTAAAGAGATGCTGGGTGGGGTGTTTCCATGCGTCTTCAGGAGATATTCTCGGATATTTATGCCCTTTGTCTCTGTAACACAGCTGGGGTTTGGAACCCCATGTTTGCTTGACCTATGTCACATTGGATGCAGGCTGCTTGCATGTCGGAATTTGATATTAGGGACTGCAATAACAGCTCTCTTCCTGTCCCAACGAGTGAGCGCGGTTATCAAGCGCCACGACCCAGCAGCAAACACGGCAGGTCAGTGTCGTGCACGCAGATGGGATGCGTTTGGCGAGATAACAGTGAAATAAGGGTATCATGGCGATGTAACAGCCCGAGAGCTTTGTATATTCGGAGCAGAGGCCCGGCTGTTGACGCTGCGATCCCGCAATCCAGAGCTTGCCTCGTCTGCCTGGGACGGCAGCAAATGACGCCAGCTCGCAGCAAGGCAAAAGCATCGCCATGTCCAAGGAATCATGCAGCAGTTGAAGGTTGAAGGTTGAAGCTTGCCGGTGTGTGCCGGCAACCCAACAGTCGTGCAGCCATCTGCTCGAAGGTTTCCGACGCAGATATCCGGCTGGAGGTCCAGCTCGACTGGGCTTTGAATGCAGAGTCCAGAACACTGGATGACATCAACCAGAGCAGAGACACACTCTGAGTGTGCCCTTCTATCAACATCAACATATATCCAGTGGTTGCTGGCTGCTATGCACACGGCGCACCGTCGAGCACCCACGCACTCTGGCAGGCTCTATCGCCCAACAGCATTGTGGACAGCGGTAATTGCCACGCCGCAGCTGTGATTTGCCCAGTGCCGCCATTTTTTTTCGCTCTGGCGCTCCAACCACCAGGCGTCTTCCCCCAAACCGAACTGCACAAAGGTGAGAAACAGCATCTCGCTTCCGACCGACTCTGCTTCGTGATCTCTGGCTCTTAGCGACATCTTGCTTCGCATGTGCTGATTCTCGCTGGCTCTTTAGCTCTTGCTGCCGTTTCTCATCCATCGTGCCGTTTGACTCGTCAGACTTGTCGTGTGTACGCTCTGCTTAACCGCCACATACTTGAACCCGGCCCAGTCGACTCGAAGCCCTTTTTTCAGACAGTTGCGATAAAGAAGACTAGACGCCTCCATCTAACATGCCTTCACCGCTTCCATCCACCTTCGCCTCCGCCGCGGCTGGCAACACAGACTCGTCGAGAAGAGACGCCTTGAATAGCGGAGAATGGTAAGCGTTTCCCCGTCGACGATCGTTTCTCGCATGAGAAACACCGTTCGTCTCGTTCACTCTACGTGTCAAAACACCCGCTGCCCTGCACCTGGCTCATCTGAACTGAAAATTTCATCCTGTAGGTCTCGAACCCGCGTGAACGGAGCAACACAAACCTTCCGTCGACCGTCGCTTGCTACCAACACATCTCATAGCCGGGAGGGGACGCAAGCCACCTTGAATGCATCCATCACTCCGACCTCCCAGGCCTACATTCCTCCCCACCTCAATTCGAATTACCAGTCTGGTTCGTTCCGTGGTGGGAGCGCACAGGACGGTCGCTACTCAAAAGACCAGCTTCTTAGCCTCTACAAAAGCCAGAAAGAGTCCAAGGACTGGGGCAAACACGTAACGGATTACTTCATGGCAGACTGGAATCCCCTGGAAGAAAGCCCTGCCGCCAACGGTGGTTGGGGTAAAAGGGATGATTTCAAAGATAGCCATGGAGGACCCGAGGTTTGCTGGGACCATGATGGAAAGATAGAGCCTCTTACCTTGATGGTCATGACCCAGGAGGAAAAAGAGGTGCGTCTCTCCTTTGGCAACATACTCGTGGCATCGCTGACTTGTTGCTAGCTATTTTCCACTTCGGTCAACTCTCCACTCAAGCCGCCGCCACAGAACGTTTCAAAGGACGGCAATGCGCCTAGCGGGTCAATGGGCCGCAAATCTTCATTTTCTCACTCGCAAGGCCATATGAACTCGTTTAATGCTTCCTCTCCGGGCACTGGCAGACCCGGTCCTCGACGCCGCGGCACCGCAGATTCCCTGGCAAACACGATGTCCCCAACCGGAAATTCACGTTTCTTTCGCGATGAGCCCAACACATCGACCCCGCCTCCGTCTCTTCTGCGCCGGAAGACAGACTTTCGAGAATCCACTTCGAAACTAGAGGAGAAAGAAGAAGACGGGGCTTCCCGTGATACTCCGCTCGACATCACTTCGCCCTTTGGCTCGTTGAAACGTAGCGCTACCAACCCTCTCGGTGTCAGTACATCTTCCGCCTGGCCAACTAGCTCACACAGCGGCTCTGCTTTTTCTCCAATGGGCTCGTTTGGCAACTTCTCGCTTGGAGCTATCGCGTCGCCGTCAGCGGAAAAGAAATCAAGCTTTGGGAGTTTACGGGGCGAAAGCCGTTTCAAAAACCTGCTGAGTAAGAGTAGTATGGAGGACATTGGCATCGGCTCCAAAGAAAAACCGTCTATACTCGATCGCCTTCCTGAAACCGAGAACGACAATCCTCCGCTAAACCATGCAGATGTCTTGCAGAATCGGCCTGGGCGCAGTGACACTAATCCGTTCGAAGAGGCTGGAACCGGAAGCGCTGCTCTAGGTGGACAGGATTTGAATCCTCCCAGCACTGGAATTGACCAATTCGGCCTATCGTCGTTCGGTTTACCGTCCAGTGGCTCCGCATTGCGGGACCTTATGCCAGGTCAACAACCTCCCACCCACACCCCAAGCCATCTCCACGGTCATGAGCCAATGAGTCCTACTCACACCAATCCATATCAGAGTCCACATGGGGAGCGGGCCGACGCGGATGAGATTGCTACCAATGGTTCTGATATACAACACGCTCCTCTGCCAAACCTAGGTGAATTGCGAGACCCTCCGTCAGCATTTGGATCCTTCGCGAGAGGCGGAACCACTGGTGACATCGCTTCAGGAGACCGCAGCCAAACCTCAAGCGTGGGTGGTAATCGAAGCTTCTCGGGCTTGGGTGGCCTTGGTGGTCTTCCTCCACTCGGCACGTCTTCGGGCTGGCCAATGTCCGCTTATGCCGACACGCCAACCCGCGAAAAGTCTGCGTTTATGGGGGCATTTGGTGATCCTATCTTTGGGCCAATGTCGGAACTACAGTCGCCTAGCCTGTCTTCTCTGGGAGCCGGGGGGTTCTTCGGATCGCATACGAACCTGTCGGGCGCTGCAAACACTCGACCTAGTAAACTAGGGTCCCTTTTCCCGCCCGCAATGCAAGACCAGATGCGTGACCAATCGAGGCCCGACCTTCTGATGAACGAAGGACCCTCGAGACCACAAGGTGAGCACTGATTTTACCACGCTAGGATTCGAGATTTTTTGATACTAACTATTCAAAATAGACCCCTTTATGTCATCCGATAAACCCAACGTGAACGCCACCGTTTCTTCATCTCAAACTCCGGTCTCAGCTATTGGGCAGAGTTCGGTACCCGGAACCCAGCAATCAACAGAAGGTGCTCCTCAAGCGAATCAGGCTTCAGGCCAGTCCAGCGGCACCTCGTCTGCCAATCAACTTCCAGCTGCGCAACAGCGACAGATGGTCATGCCCGATCGCATGCGCTGGATTTACCGTGACCACAAGGGAAACACGCAAGGACCATGGTCTGGTCTTGAAATGCACGACTGGTTCAAAGCTGGTTTCTTCACTGCGGAACTTCAAGTCAAGAAGCTCGAGGACGCTGAGTATGAGCCATTGGGTCAACTTGTTCGGCGCATTGGCAATTCTCGAGAACCTTTCCTTGTCCCGCAGATCGGTGTTCCTCATGGCCCTCCATCCGCTCAAGCTCCGTGGTCTGCAACGTCGCAAACTGGCGTTGTTCAGCCTCCATTTGCCAACAGTTTTCCCAGCTTCGGTACTACTTTGACGGCTGAGCAACAAAATGCTCTAGAACGCCGAAAACAGGAAGAACAGTACATGATGGCTCGCCAAAAGGAACATTTAGCCCAACAGCAAGCGCTTATGAAGCAAATGCAGTTTCCTAACCCTGCTCATACCATACATCCGCAGCTCCAGCACCACTCCAGTGCACACAGTCTTCAGAGCCAGCCGAGTTATGGCAGTATAGCGTCCCCAGCAACATATCAACCTCCCACTATGCAGGCTCCAATTCAGCCCCCACAAGCGTTGCCTGGATATTTTGAGCCCCAAATGCGCCCAATGCCAAATGCGCCGTCTCAGGTGCCTATTCAGGAGCCTATTGGAACCCAGGACCAGCTACCTACCCTGCTTGACCGCTTGAATATCAATCGTACCACACAGTTTCCATTTGGTTCTGGCCCATCTTTCGGCGGAAGGCAACCGGAAGGAGCCACTCATCCCGAGGCGGTTGCAGCGATGCTACAGGATCGCTCGCAATTGCAGCAAGAACAGGAGCAATTCAATAACGCTCAAACTGACTCCATTTTCGACCAACAGGCCCGTGAGGAGCGTTTGCGCCAATTTCATGCATTGAGAGGCGCAGACGAGGAGTTACCCATTCGTAAAGCTGAAGGCCTCCCAACCCACCCGCCAGCCGATATGGCTATTGAGGGCCTAGGACATCAAGAGGAGACGCTTCACCAGAATCAAACCGGGCTGGAGAATGAGTCCACACTCTCTCTTACGCAGCAAGTACAGAATGCTGCGACCGCGCAGAGGTTGCAGCAACAAGCCCAACAGACCCAACCAGCAGTTGTGCAGCAAGAGTCTCCCTGGCAAAAGGTTGACAATGGGATGCCTCAGCCTTTCCCCCCACCTCCCTCTCAGTCCCCTCTTCCAGCGCCGGCAGCGCAAAGAAAGCAGAATATTGCAGACACCTTGGCTGCAGGATCTCGATCGCAAAGCCAAACCCCGGCTGCTGAAGGTCAGACCACATCAGTCGCTCCTTGGGCAACACAGGCTACTGAGATGCCAAAGGGCCCCTCACTGAAAGAAATCCAGGAAGCTGAAGCTCGAAAAGCAGCCAAGCTGGAAGAGGCTGCGGCCGCTGCTCGCCGTGCGATTGCAGAACAAGAGCGAGCGAATCAGCCACCACCACCTGTCCCTGGACTTCCTTCAACAGCTAATTGGGCAAGCGCTGGATCTCCCGCTACCCCAACCCCGACCACATCGGTGTGGACGAAGCCATTGCCCGGTAAGCCCTCGACGCCGGGTGCTACCGCGCCGAAAAAGACATTGGCACAGATTCAAAAGGAAGAGGAACTTCGTAAACAACGCCTTGCAGCAGCCAGTGCACAGGCGAATGCGCTGACTACCGCACCCACTTCCGCGGGTAAGCGTTATGCCGACCTCGCTAGTAAAGTCGCCCCGGTGAATCCGCCTGTGGCTGGCGGTGCTTGGACGACTGTTGGCGCTGGCGGGAAAGCCAAAGCACCGGTTGCTCCGCCTGCAACAACACGAGCTGTCGTTAGCACGACTCCTGTTGCTCCTGTTGCGAAACCGAGACCGGCTACAGTCACGCGCTCTACCACTGTTGCCACGACTGCGAATCCAAACAAGGCAGCGGAAGAGCTATCAAAATGGGTGAAGCTGGCGTTGGGTAAGGGATTGAACAGCGCTATCAATGGTAAGTACATATACACTTCTACGAAGCACTTTGTGGATTTGATTTACTGATTACCGGTGTAGTTGACGATTTCGTGCAACAACTCCTTCTTCTTCCACCAGAGACGGAAATCATCTCGGATTCTGTGTATGCCAATTCTCAGACTCTGGATGGTCGCCGATTCGCCGAAGAGTTTGTCCGCCGTCGCAAACTGGCTGATAAGGGGATCATTGACCCAATCCCGGCGACAGGCATTAATATGTTCGGTGCCGGCGTATCTGATGCCAAGGGTGCTTCCGATGGATGGAACGAAGTCGCTAAAAAGAGCTCCACGAATACGCACCGGGAAGAAAGTACGCCGTTCAAGGTCGTGTCCAAGAAGAAGGGGAAGCGGTAAAGGTGTGCAAGATGAGCGTTGATTGATTGTCTGCTTATTGAAGCCGTCTCAGCAAGCACAGCAGCGATTTTCAAGTGGCAATCTCTGCCATCTTCTCAGTCATTCCGACTGATCTCTGTAAGAATAAATTTTGTGTTGATGGAAATGATTTTGTATTTATTAGTTGAGGAATAACAAGAGCGACTTATTTGCATTCAGGAGAATCTGGTACCTTTCTTGCCTCCATTTCATTCTAGTCTACGGACGGAGCCAGCGGCGTTCATTCTACTTACGAAAAGTCTGTTTCTCGTGGACTTTCGTAGTATCTATCATCCTTAATAGAGCCCCTATGTCGAGCTCGCAAATTCAATATCCACGCCTTCCGGCCCATCTCCTTTCCCAATCCGCTCGCAAATGCCCTTCATGATGCCCCCCAACCACTTAAAATCCCCCAATTCAAGGTAAATCTGCGCACTCAGCCGAATCCCACAACCACCCCGCCCAGCGGAAACACAGGCACGATCGTGTTGTGCTCGTACGTGAGCTGCTTCTCAATCCACCTCGCCAGCACACTAACCTCGCCCGCCCTGACGACGGGATACGATCTCTGCATCCCACCAAGCGCAGCCGCGCCATGGTCTACGCCGATCGGCAGGCGGACATTGACCAGCGCACAGCGGCGCAGCTGGCTCGCGCCGCGGATGGTTTGGGCCTCCGGGCCCGGTTCGCAGAGGACCTGGGTGCCGAGGATGCGGGCGACGAGGTTCCCTGCGTCAAAGGCGAGGGCCTCGCAGTACTCCATGATGCGGGCCTCGCCGCCGCAGACGTCGCGGCGGAACCGGAGGGCGGCGGGGGTGCAGAGGTAGGGGCAGTCGTCGTTGGTGGCGACCATCTCGAAGAGTGCGGCGAAGGGGGGTTTGGCGTTGTCGCCGGGGAGGACCTGGGGGAAGCGGGTGCAGTCGGAGAGGATGTTGGGGATGGGTTGGAAGCCCCATGATGTGGGAATGGTGGAGCGGATGAGGTGTTGGTTGCGGACGGGGACGTGGAAGACGGCGCAGCCGCGGGGGGTGAAGAGCCATCTGGCGAGAGATTGTTGATTAGTGGTGATTTGGGGAGATATAGATATAAGTATGCAAGGGGAGCGTACTTGTGGCAGTTGCTCACGAAGAAATCAGCGTCCAGCTTGCCGAGATCCAGCGGGATATGTCCAACGCCGTGGGCACCGTCCACGCACGACAAGATGCTCTCCTCGCGGCAGATTTCCACCATCTTCTCGAATGGAAATCGAACGCCGGGCTGGCTGACGATGGTATCAAACAGCGCAACTTTGACATTCAATCCGTCCTGCTTCGCTGTGCGGACAACATCCTTGAATCTCTGCAGGATATCTTCATGGGCACAGGGGAGATCCAGCATCACTTTCCTCGCCTTCAGAGGCGTCGTCTCCGCCAAATACGCAATCGTCTTCTCGCATGCCCCGTACACGCAGGAGAAATACACAATGATGTCCCCGGGCTTGTATACCAGGTTTCGCAGCACCAAGTTCACGCCGGTAGTCGCGTTCTTGACATATACAACCTCATCGACGGGCACGTTGAGGTACTCGGCGGCCGCAGCGCGAGAGCTGTCGAGATACTTGGGGATATTGTACCGGATGAACGTGTCCGGAGTGCTGTCCAGTTCAGCCTGGAATCTCTGCCGCTCCTCGACGACGACGTTTGGACACGTTCCAAAGGAGCCTACGGTTCGGGTTTTAGCAATGCAATTTCACCTGGCATTTCACTGAGCAGTAGTAGATATAGCCAAGGCAAAGCCAACGCAGAGGGTGGCGGGCTCAAGGTGTCCGCCCATACCGTGGTTCAAGTTCTTGAAGTTGGGATCCAACGGGAACAGCTTCAGCATGGAGTGCCCAAAGGGAAGCTCCTGGCTAGTTTCCCGTTCGCGGATAGGTAGGGATCCCATATCTATATCCCTGGATGTCCGTTTGTATCGAGTGTGTTTCCCTGAGTAGTTCGATGTATGAAGTATTTACGTGCGAAGCCGTCTTGCGCGTGACTCACTGGCATCATTCCACAAGCGTCAGTTCATCCCTCTTATAGTCGATGGCCCGCAGTCTGATAGAGATCTATACTCACCACAAGCTTCCTCCAAGCCCAGCGCATCGAATCAGCCGCTGCTTCGACGGCGATAAGCGAAGATGCGATGCGGAAGGGCGCGAGCTTATTTATGCCATCACCGGCTTGGCAGCGGCTATGTTCGGGCAGCGAGAATCAGGGAATAAGTCATGGTCATTGAGGATGGAAGGACTATGTATAGCATTCGAGGCCTCGCTAAGTATTCAGGACCTCAAGCGGCACCCGTAAAAAGACCGCCAGCTAACTGCTATTGTGCATACGTGATACTAAGGAACGCTGGAAGGCTTCAGGAAAATGGATCAATATCAAAACCGTCAAAAATGCAAACATGCACAAATATGCCATAGCCGTGTAAGCCGGAAAGAGACAGGAGCGACACCAACTCCTATTGCATCCCCGTTGGACGCCCATTTGCGCCGGTCGTAAGCTGGAATACCAGTGCCTCATTGCGAACAAAACTTTTTATGTCCCGGACGCAGTAGTTTCGTTACCTATTCTAATTTCTCCCGTCAGGTACCACTGCTGCCACCGCCAAAATGGTTTCTCATCCACCCCGTAAATCGACCATTCCCGCCACTACTCGATGGGCGCTGTTGGTCGCTTTCGGACCTAGTCGGTGTGCCATTCGAATTGTGAGGACTGCTGGAGCCATTAGGCATAGGAAAAGGAGACGTCACGCTAATTAAGCTAGGCAGAGAGGATGATGAGCCCGACGGACTCGAATTGGGCGACGGATGCTGCTGTCGATAAGATTCCATTATTCCTCTGCGACAATGCGGGCAAGTGTCATGCTCGATCAACCATGCCGATATGCAAGTTCCGTGGAACCAGTGTTTGCACGGTAGTTCGGTGACTTTCTCTGCTATTTCCACGTTATCCATGCAAATAGAACACTCTGCTTTGCCATCATGGCCAAGCATGGTCTTATCCACCGGCTTCTTGGGTAGAGCTCGAATCGCTGCTTCTGTTGCAGGCCCGGGTGCGTTGGTGTTGGAAGTTTGGTCTATTAATTCGGAGATTACACGGTCGAGCTCTTCTTGCGAATAAACGGCGTCACCAAGGTGCCCTAAGCCCATGATGCGTGCAACAATTTCAAGTGGGTTAGGCGCAACGAGCGGAGGGGCCCCGATTCGGCCAGACGGGTCTCGCGGTCTGGCGTTGCGCCCCATAAAATCTTGTTGAAGGATTCTTATTATACTGCTATCCCGTTAGTAACGGCATGAATGTCAACAATAATAATAAATCTTACTCGTTCACACTTGCAACAGGAGGGGGGTTTTCTTCCCGACCTGACTGGCGTTGAGAATTGTTTGCTGCCTCCGGGGGCGCATTCGCGTGCGGATTTTGCGGTGGGCCCTCGGCAGCAGCGAGCCCTTGAACAAAAGCGTTAAAATTTGCAAAGAGAGGTAATAACGCGTCACCTGCGGGTGCGTTTTGGGGAGGCTGAAACGGCATCGTGCTGCTTGGAGACCGAAATGTAGTGCTCGTGTATGTAACTCTACCGTCTGGAGAGCGATAGTGATGCCTGGTTACGTTGTTTCCGTGGGCGAAGTCATAAGGGGTGGTGTCCCATATGTGCTCGGCAGTTTCTTGCGGTGGTGAAGGGGGGTGTCCTGGAAAGTTGGGTTCCTGCTCTGACTTCAAGAGCTGTTAGGAAGGGAATCTCCGGAACGGTTTAGAAAAAGAAGGCACTCACTACAAATTCCACAAACTCAGAGCCACAATGCGGGCACGACAAGCCGTGTTCATCCCTTGGCCACCTCTCTGCACATGCGTGACAATATATCATGGTCTCGGTGATAGCGTCGGCCATGGCTGCGCAAAGGGCTCGAAAGCAAAAGTGAGGTCGTAATCTAAATGTTAATTATATCGTGTAGCTGTCAATGAGGCCGTGGCTGCAACTAGATGCCCAACGAAGAACGTGGTCCCACAAGGCCGAGAGATGAGAGGATGCTCGATGGCATGCAGTGTCAAATCCCCACAAACGGGAACAAAAGAGAGCCGGCAAAAATGTCTCCGGAAATATCTGTACAGGCAACAGGCTTCGTCGCAGACGTCCAAGTGTGGGAAAGAATAGGCAGGGTGCGGGAGGACTGATCCGCGGTTTGTTCAAAGGGGAGAGAGTCCGGTACCGGCAATGCGCGACTTGAGTCACGAGTGAGGCGTCACACGGCGTGGGCGATATGGGCTGGCAGAAGGGGTGAGGAGAGGTCCAAACGCACAAGCAGGTGGTGATTGAGTCTGCCTGGCCGGCTCGAGTCTCGTCGACAACGCTTGATCCCTTTGCCGCTGCTGGTCGACACAAGAAAGCGACATCAAACATGAACCTCGCGGGCCAAAAAGAATCCCGCATGACGTTGCTGCTTAGCTAAGAGGCTTAGTAAGGGGAATGTTGTTAGTAAGCACAGCCGAGGTATGGGTCACGTGCATGGTGGCGAGTCAGGCATATATAGGAGAGAGACGGCAGAAGAGATGCAGGAGAAGGGGCGAAAAGACTAGTAAGAGAAGACTTATTCGTAAGCGGGGTCCATGCTATTAGGAGGCTGCAGAAATCATCGCCCGAAGTATTATATTCAACCACACCAAAGCCCATCGTAGCAAACCGACAAGAGGGTAGTCTTGCGCAAACAAAGGAACAACACATAAAGAGAATGCAACTTCTTGAAACGCCTTTCAAATGCCACTTCACGTCCCAGCCGGCAATAAAAATCATGTAGGACAGGCCGTGATACACGTACACACAGAGTGGCTCGCTATCGTCTCTTCGTCCCCTTCATGATAAGCCCGCCAACCAGCCCCGCCGCAAGGGCCACACCGCCCAAGATCGCAACACCCACGAGTCCTTCTTTCGCGACTTTGTCGTCCACGAGTGATCGCAGGCTCGCCGCCTGGAGGTTCTGGGGCTCGTGCTCGAGCAGGAGATCGTTGTACCTTCGTGCTTCGCCGTAGTTGCCGAGCTTATAGTTCCCAAGAGCAAGGTAGTAAAGGCACTCGCGTCTCCGTTCGGGGGCCGTGCGGAAAATCTCTGACAGTAACCGGACGCCTTCCTGCTGCTCCACGCGGATGTTGGATTTGATTAAGCCCTATTGGCGGTGCAGGGTTAGCACGCAGGACGCTGGAGACCTATAGGAACGGCCAAAGGGGCGCAAGAAGTACTCCGTACCCATGCGTAATTGAATTTGGTTTGAACGCCAACATATTCGCCTTCTTTTTCGTACTGTGCTCGGAGGACTTGGAGTTCGGCGGGTTTTAGCGGGCTGGATCCAGTTAGCTTCACAGGATAATGTCTGGGATACTCAAAAACAGCTGTTCAAGCGGCGCATTCTGGAGCTACGGTCTTCGTACCTTTCCGCATCGGCCGCATCTACAAAAGCCGAGTCAGTGTCCATTCATAAGCGGCTGCCTGGAGTGAAACGGAGAGGGTCAAACATACATGGGAGTTGCGGGGACATGGCTAATCGGTGACTTAAATGTTGAAGAGAGATAATCAAGTACGATTTCTGAGCACCGCCTGTAAATTTCAAGATCGTTCAAAGCAAAAGGCAGCGATGAAGCGATTCTGCACCAAAAAGCTGTTTTGCCGGCAGCTGTGGCGGTGCCGGGTCATCCTCCCACGCTATCCCCGATCCAGCAAAACCACAACACTTGTTGCTGACCTCATCACGCTCTAGACTCGAAGACATCGATCGCACGACCGCAGCATCTCGTGATCTCTCGCAATGCTCTGAAGAGATGTGCACTGTACAGCTCTCATCCCCTCCCCGAAATACGATTGCTATGTCACTAACCCCCTGTTCCAGCTCATCCACCACACCGTCACAAACTTCAACATCCAACCCGACAAGCAAACCGTCACCCGCATCAACGACTCCCTTTCCTCCCTCCAACAATCCCGCGACCTCCGCATCCGCGATGCCGAAATCTCCCTCCGCAAACTCTCCCGCAGCCTCAACACCCTTACCGCGCAGCACAATGAGACCGTAGCAGCCCACGACCCCGCGCGCCATGCGGCGTCGATCGTGGAGCTAGACACGAAGAAGTTTCGAATCGCAAAGGCGGCCTCGGAACTGGAGATTGAGAGCGAGAGGCTGGAGGCTGAACTGGAAGCGTTGAAGGCGCGGCTGGCGGAGCTGGATGCCCAGGGGCTAGAGGGCGATGAGCAAGTGAGGAGGGAGCGGGAGGCGGACGATGCGACGATGTGAGTTGGGTTATCCTATCTCGTGCTAATTGCCACCGTCTGGTGAGGTGCTAATATGGTAGTAGATTACGGCTCAAAATCTACCGGTCGCTGGGGATCGATGTTGAAGCTGATGAAGCGGGGAATTACTCCAAAGCCATCATTCGGAATAGTCGAAAGGGCGATGTTCATGTGGTGAACATAGATCCCAAATTCTCACGATTCTTTTACGCGAATTACTTTTGGCAAACGATGCAGGGATAATGCACAGGTTGGAGCCTCTTTTCTTAGGAGTTGGGATTTTAGGGTCTCCTGGGTTGGAGGAGTTAGGACGGGTTGGGACGAGATTTGTTGATATCAAAACGGCGATGGCGCTTATCTGTTGTATTTTCTTTGCATTCAGGAGCATAAGCTATTGATTGAATGCACGTAATAATTCAACTGATCCATTCATGCGTATCCAAAGGTATATTTGTCTAACACAGGTATTTCCCAAGCCTTTTTGGTTCCATCCTCATACACAGACGCCAACAAGGTATCCAGTCGCATATTATACAAAAAGAGTGCCAGATCATCTCCGTTTCTTCCCGCCGCCTCCATCACCACCGTCGTTCTTTCGCTTCTTACCCTCTCGGCTCCAATACTCGTCCTTCTCCCTCTTCTCTCTCGCTGCCTTCTTTTCCAAATTATCCGCCATTCTAGCACGATACACCTTCCTCCGCTCTTCCTGCGCTGCCTGTCTCTTGGCCACTTTTTCATTCCGCAATGTAGTCAGCTTCTGCAGTAAATCTCGAGCCTTTTTCTCTTCACCACCGAGAACCACAGCTCGTTTCTGCATGTATGTCTCCTTCTTGCGGGGTCGCATCTGCACAATTTGTGACTTGAAAGGTAAATCTGCGGCAAGCTGCCTTGGAACACGCAGAGGGTTGAAGTGCCTCGTCGGACGGTCGACAGGGCGGTATGCCGAGTCCTTTTGGAGGGGGGTCGGGATGCCCTGGTCTCGCCGCACTTCGCCCGTTAAACGCATGGCTTTCCACCCGCCCTGGCCTTGTTCGTCTTCTATGTCTAGGAGATTGGTGACTGGATTATAGAACCGGGTCGGTTTGATAGGATACCAAGTGCGGAGGAAAACAATGTCGCTCATGAGGATCTTATCCTCAAATGTCGCACGGAAGTGGCCTTCTGGCTTGCTGAGTGCACGCTTAATCTGGCCTCGAATTCCGGAGACCGTGCGGATTGCTGCACCTTCAAATTTGGCAATTTCTAGGGCTGAGTTGAACATGTCTTTGATAAATGCCGTGTTTCGGAAGATTTTATATGGGTGACCTGTAAGTTTGAGCTTCTTCACGATCTCAGACCCTTCGTCAACACTCAGTACCACTCCGGTCGCGGCTATTCTGAACCCCGGGTTTTTATTCGAGAAGGACTGGACGCAACAGAAGCCAGTGTTTGGAGCCACGAGGGGCCCATAAAAGGTCCCGAAGCAGTGCATGTGCTCCGGTGTATATTTCAGCATCCGGTTTCGCGTCCGAGAATCGGATATGCTGTATATAGGCATGGTTTGGAATCGTCGCCATCCCAGCGAGAAAATTAGCGGATCGTTAGTCTTGAGGATCTTCTTGTGCCAGCGATGCCTTTTGATCCTCACTTGCACGAACCCATATCGATCTTCTGTGGGTGCCAACCCACCCACAATGACAGGGAAGCGTGGGTTAAACCTCGTGGAAAATTCGCAGGGAACATTCTCTAGCACAATCCGTGCATATGTCCCGGCTTTATATCCTTCAGCTCTTGCTCTGGAAAGAGCATCCAGATTATCAAACTCGGCTCGATTGATGTCTTGCTGTTTTTGAAGTGCTGCTTTCTGCGCATCGTACCACTCGTCTTCGCCGAATTGGTCTTCCTCTCCGGCTGCGCGCGTGCCACTTTTCGCATTAGCAAATCCCTCCCTGTCTTCTTCCTCGAATCGAAGCTTAAGTTCTTCCTTTCTCCGCGCATTCTTCTCGCGTTCCTTTTCGAGGTCTTCAGCCTCATCTCCTTCTTCTTCATCTGCTTCATCATCACTCGTTTGTTTCGCGGTGACGACTTCTCCGGTCTCGAGATCTTCGAAAGCTCCATCTCCCTCAGAGTCGCTACCACCCTCTTCATCTTCGTCATAACTCTCATCACCGTCCGAGGCATGCTTGGATATCTTGACGCTAGCAAATCGCTGCCGTAATGACTTTAGATTGTCCTCGGCTTGCCACTTCTCCTCAAGTTGCTCGTAATCAAACTCAGGTATGGTTCGGTCATCGACGTCTTGCTTCTCAGTATTCGTTTTCTTGAAAAAGTCATCCGCATCTTCCTCAGTCTGCTCGTCAGCAGATGGGGAATCGTCCCCACGCCATCTTCTTGCAACATCCTCCGGAGGTACTGAATCATCATAGAGCATCCGGGGTAAGTTCAGCAATGCGATATGCCCGGTTTTTTGAATAGGGTCCTTTGCATGAGCCGCCAAGTTTTCTTTCCATTGCAAAGCCCCATCATCGTCGTCATCATAATCCCTTGGAACCATCTTCGAGCTCTTGGTCTTCTGTTGATGATATG